AATCAGCCAACAACAGGTTGCAGCTAGCTAGCTGGTTGCGATGATCCGGCGCTAGGGTCCAGTGATTCCGGCAGAAAGTCCAATAAGTTCTGGGTCGATAGCACGCTGTGCAGACTGGCCGACGAATTGTCCAGGCTAGAGCTAGAGCTGGCTGGTGGATAGTGTAGGCCACGGACAGTGGTGAAGACGCTAACGGTGACTAATAACAGGTAGCCATTCAGTTGCAGCTACACGATTTTCAGCTTACGGTTCTTGATGAAAGTTATAAAGAAATAGTAGAATCCTTTCCACGTTGGGTGAGGCGGGTTGCAGGAAAGTATATTTAGTTAAAGAATGAAAAGTAAAAATTGAGAAATATATACAAAATAGACAAAAAAACAAGAAACGGGATATTTACACAGGGACAATGAATAAAAGCGACCGCACTGCTACGCCATCTTGGAACATCAGGATGTAGCTCAGTTCGTAGAGCATGGCGTTTGCAACGCCAGGGTTGTGGGTTCGATTCCCACGAGGGGTATATAAAAAAAAAGAAGTAATGTATGCACTAACTGTAAGTCGCTCTGGATAAGAGCGTCTGCTAAATTACTAAAATGTAAATATGATGTTGCTGTTTCTGTCTTCATACCTCTGCCTCTAAACTGGTTGGGGTTAGGGTTAGGTTTAAGAGGGTTTCTGTTTGTACTGGTTACAAACCTTGGGTTGCACGAGCCTATTGCAACTTCCTGCTCTGTCTGCATATTGTTAGGGTTAGGATTGGGGTTGGAGTTAGGGTTATGGCTAGGGATGGGTTTGAACCAGGGTGTGGACATGAAGCTAGAGTTAGGGTTAGGGTTTGAGTTAGGGTTAGTGTTAACCTAACCCAGAGGTTCCCAAACCTTTTAAACCCTCACCCTAACCCTAGCTTCATGTCCACATCCCAGCTCATCCCTAACTGTCACGGTCGTCTATGTCGTCTAAGTATGACCAAGGCGCAGCGTGTCCAAGAAACATGACTTTATTAATTAAACGTTATAGAACTACAAAACAAAAGACGACTCAATGAAGTCCACGGTACACTGACCGAAACGGAACAAAAACCCACCACACCCAAAGGAAAACATACAGATAAATATGGCTCCCAATCAGAGATAACGAGCCGACAGCTGACACTCGTTACCTCCGATTGGGAGTCATTGACCAAACCTAGAAATGAACCCCACAGAAATGCAAACATAGAAATACACCCAAATACCCAACAAAACCAAACCAAAACCCAACAAAACAAAATACACCCTGGCTCAAATACAAAGGTCCCGGAGCCAGAGTGTCACAGTACCCCCCCCTAAAGGTGCGAACTCCGGGCGCACCAGCATACAGTCTAGGGGAGGGTCTGGGTGGGCGTCTGTCCACGGTGGCGGTTCTGGCCCTGGTCGTGGTCCCCACCCCACCTTAGTCACTATCCGCTTCCGTAGCCTCCTCCACATGACCACCCCCCAACTAAACCCCACTGGATTAAGGGGCGGCACCGGACTAAAGGGCAGCACCGGACTAAGGGGCAGCACCGGACTAAGGGGCAGTACCGGACTAAGGGGCAGCACCAGGATAAGGGGCAGCACCGGGCTAAGGGACAGCACCGGACTCAATGGCGGATCCTGGCTGGCTGGCTCTGGCGGGTCCTGGCTGGACGGCTCTGGTGGATCCTGGCTGGACGGCTTATGGCTGGCTGAAGGATCTGGCTGCTCATGGCTGGCTGATGGATCTGGCTGCTCATGGCTGGCTGACGGATCTGGCTGCTCATGGCTGGCTGACGGATCTGGCTGCTCATGGCTGGCCGACGGATCTGGCTGCTCATGGCTGGCCGACGGATCTGGCTGCTCATGGCTGGCTGAAGGATCTGGCTGCTCATGGCTGGCTGACGGATCTGGCTGCTCATGGCCGGCTGACGGATCTGGCTGCTCATGGCTGGCGGAAGGCTCTGACTGATCCTGTCTGGCGGAAGGCTCTGGCTGATCCTGTCTGGCGGAAGGCTCTAGCGGCTCCGGTCTGGCGGACGGCTCTGAAGGCTCATGGCAGACGGGCGGCTTTGCAGGCTCAGTCCAGACGGCCAGTTCAAGCGCCTTTGGGCAGACGGGCAGTTCAGGCCCCGTTGGGCAGACGGCAGACTCTGGCCGTCTGAGGCGCACCGTAGGCCTGGTGCGTGGTGCCGGAACTGGAGGTACCGGGCTGAGGACACGCATCTCAGGGCTAGTGCGGGGAGAAGCAACAGGGCATGCTGGACCCTGGGGACGCACATAAGGCCTAGTGCGGAGAGCAGCAACAGGACGCACAGGACTCGGGGAACACACAGGAGGCTTGGTGCGTGGTGTAGGCACTGGTGGTACTGGGCTGGAGCGGGGAGGTGGCGCCGGAAATACCGGACCGTGCAGGCTTACTGGCCCCCTTGAGCACTGAGCCTGCCCAACCTTACCCGGGTTGATGCTCCCCGTCGCCCGACCAGTACGGGGAGGTGGAATAACCCGCACCGGCCTATGTGGGCGAACCGGGAACACCATGCGTAAGGCTGGTGCCATGTACGCCGGCCCGAGAAGACGCACTGGTAGCCGGATGCGTTGGGCCGGCTTCATGACATCTGGCTCAACGCTCACTCTAACCCGGCCGATACGTGGAGCTGGAATGTACCGAACCGGGCTATGCCTGCGTACAGGAGACACCATGCGCTCTACTGCGTAACACGGTGTCTGCCCGTACTCTTGCTCTCCACGGTAAGTCCAGGGAGTAGGCGCAGGTCTCCTACCTGACTTCGCCACACTCCCTTTAAGCCCCCCCCCCAAGAAATTTTTGGGTAGTACCCACGGGCTTCCAGCCTTGACTCCGTGCTGCCTCCTCATACCGCCTCCTCTCGGCTTTAGCTGCCTCCAGCTCTTCACGAGGGCGGCGATATTCTCCCGGTTGTGCCCAAGGACCCTTTCCAGCCAGTATCTCCCCCCATGTCCATGAATCCTTAGGAGCAGGGTCCTGTTGCCGCTTGACACGCTGCTTGGTCCTATGATGGTGGGTTTTTCTGTCACGGTCGTCTATGTCGTCTAAGTATGACCAAGGCGCAGCGTGTCCAAGAAACATGACTTTATTAATTAAACGTTATAGAACTACAAAACAAAAGACGACTCAATGAAGTCCACGGTACACTGACCGAAACGGAACAAAAACCCACCACACCCAAAGGAAAACATACAGATAAATATGGCTCCCAATCAGAGATAACGAGCCGACAGCTGACACTCGTTACCTCCGATTGGGAGTCATTGACCAAACCTAGAAATGAACCCCACAGAAATGCAAACATAGAAATACACCCAAATACCCAACAAAACCAAACCAAAACCCAACAAAACAAAATACACCCTGGCTCAAATACAAACGTCCCGGAGCCAGAGTGTCACACTAACCCTAACCCTAGCTTCATGTTCACATCCCAGTTCATCCCTAACCCTAACCTTAGCTTCATGTCCACATCCCAGTTCATCCCTAACCCTAACCCTAACCCTAGCTTCATGTCCATATCCCAGTTCATCCCTAACCCTAACCCTAACCCTAGCTTCATGTCCATATCCCAGTTCATCCCTAACCCTAACCTTAGCTTCATGTCCACATCCCAGCTCATCCCTAACCCTAACCTTAGCTTCATGTCCACATCCCCAGCCTGGTCTCATAGACTAGACGTAACATAGTAAACGTTTTGTCTGTTTTTTCAGTTTAGTAAAATATTGTACATTTTGCAAATTCGTAACATATCATATGAAATGGGTGATGGATATCCACAAATTAATACATACAGAGAGGCAAAAACGTAACATATAATACTAAATAGAGTGTGGCGTATTTACATACAGAATATTACGAAATGCTCTGAGACCAGGTTGATGTCCCAGCTCATCCCTACCCATAACCCTAACCTAGCTTCATGTCCACATCCCAGCTCATCCCTAATCCTAACCTCACAGCATCTCCCTCCCTCCCTCCCTCCCTCACTTTCCCTCTCCCTCAGGTGAATCCTCTTAAGTGGACTATGGGGATAAGATGTCCACTGTGTTACAGCCACACTGCTCTAAATCACTCTTTCACACGGAGAGATAGACAGAGAAAGAGAGGTGGAGAGTGGAGAAGAGAAGGAACGACGTAGACGGAGAGGAGAGGAGGGGAATGGGGAGGGTCTTACGACCAGGATGGTGTAAGGACTGGGGCGAGAGACTGGCCAGGAGAAAGGTAAAGAAATACCAAACTTCTTTGTTTACAGCAGCCTTGTAGCTAACTCTGTACATGTACAGGGGGGTTCTATACTGGGTTTGTTGTTGTGTTTTATTGTGTTGTGTTGCGTTGCATTTCAGTAAAAGACTTGAAGGGAATGCATTGGCCAAGAGCGAATAACTAGTATGTTGTTTTGGAGGGGGGTTTGAGATACATTGGCTTATATATTTGTGTGTCAGTAAAAGCTACTCAGTCATTTGAAAACATGTATAGCAGTCATGATGCAATTAAACTATTATAACCTGGTAGGTTCACCTAGTATTAATTTCTATTTATCACACTATTAGAGCAGGTCAAAGGTAGTGGTTGAGAGGTGGGCATCGATGTGAACTGTGAATATGTGAGAGATTAGTTAGTGTCTGGACTACGATGGGGCGGCAGGTAGCCTAGTGGTTAAGCGCTTTGGGCCAACAACTGAAATGTTGCTGGTTCGAATCCCTGAGCTGACTAAGTAAAAAAATCTGTTGATGTACCCTTGAGCAAGGCACTTAATCGTAGTTGCTCTGCATAAGAGCGTATCCTAAATTATGTTAATGTAATGATGATCTGGTGGTACATATAGGCCTACCAGTGTACAGTGATTTTATAGTACTAAGGCTTTATTGTTATTCCTACAGAGAGAAAGCTAAACCTGAACCTGAACCTGTCAGTCTCCAGAGCCAGACAGACCACTCTCTCTGACCAAGCTAGGACGTTCCAACCAGAGGAGAACAATGGCCTTCCTACCCCCTCACTGTACCCCCCTCTTGGGCTTGTGGTTGTCTCTGTGTGTCCTCCTAGTCCTGGTCCGGGAGGTCCATGGAGAAGACCCTACTAGTCATCAGATCGGCGGGGGTAGCGGGGGCTCCCAGTGCGGGGACTACAGTAACCAGGTGATGGAGGATGGGATGTGCCGTCTGGTGGCCACCCTGCCCCAGACGGAGGACCAGCGCTGTCCAGACATGTTCCGTTGCACAGACGAGGTCTCCTACTGGCTGCATGAAAATGAGGAGAGGAAACAGCAGATTCTGTCGCTGAGGGAGACCATCTCAGAGCTTCAGGAGGAGCTGAGGAACCACAGGCACCGCGTCAAGGTTCTGGAGCTGCAGGTGGGTTCTAGAGATATAACTGGAGGAATAGGCTAATGGTGTAGAGAAATAGATGGCGTTCAAATTCTAGAACTAGAGTTCTAGAACGACAGTGGAAAAACAAGTAGGCCAGGGTTATAGAGCTTTATGGAAATGAAAGTTCAAATACAGATACAGTGCTCTAGTTTCTGTATGAGTGTGTAAGGCTGGAGGTGAGCCACTGCTTCAGACTCAGAGCAGGACGTGCCAGTGGTCTAGAATTGCAGGTGAGCAACTGTTCTTGAGATACTGCTGTGGTTACTTTACGTTAAACTGAATGCTGAAAGCTTCTGGAACACGCTCTAACCCTACGTCATAAAGGATTACTTCAGCCAACTAACACACACATACTGTAGACACACACATACACACTGACACCTGTCTCTGTTACTCCCCCTGTGCTGTGGCAGCCGGTTGCTTACGGTATCTCTCCAGGTGTCCCTCCCTCCTAGCAAGTCCTTGACCCTGGCGCTAAGGGGATTAGCCCTGGGTACTCTGGCCTGGCTCTCCTGGCCCTGCTGGCCCTCCTCCACCACGTGCTGCCTCGTGTGTCTGTGACACTGGGACTTAGCCCTTTGGCTAACCATGGCTTTTACCTGGTCTGGGACGAAAGGGGGATCGGGCCACTGGAATGTGGTTAGGGATATGGGCTGGGAATAGAGCGCCTGTAGGTGGGATGGTTGGAGTTAGGCCTTGCTTAGGTGGTTGAATCCCGTCTGTCTGTCTGTCTTTGTAATTTCCATTATCCTTCTTACTCCCTTTCTCTCACTCTCTCTGCATATCTCTTTTTCTGGCGTCATACAGTATATTGCCCCACTCTTATATCACAACACTTCTCACCTTATTCCAGGGAAATAGGGCATAGCAGTTAGACAGACTTTTCTTAGCATGTACAGTACATCCGTGTTTTATGAAAATGTACTATTTATTTATTAGACATTTTGTAGGATGAAATCTCTTGAGATGCACCATCTCGTGTCCAAAAAAACACAAAAAAACAACAACAATACTTAATAACATTAATAATATGGCAACTACTGTCTAAAAATAATAACATTGAAATAATAATAATAATAAAATTAAAAAAGTACATTAACAACATAAAAAAAGTGTTAATAGGCCTACAACTAATAAAAAGTACTGCTACAACTACTAATACAACTAAGTACTTATAATACATACATACAGTGCCTTGCAAAAGTATTCATCCCCCTTGGCGTTTTTCCTATTTTGTTGCATTATACCTGTAATTTAAATGGATTTTTATTTGGATTTCATGTAATGGACATACACAAAATAGTCCAAATTGGTGAAGTGAAATGAAAAAAATAAATAACGGAAAAGTGGTGCGTGCATATGTATTCACCCCCATTGCTATGACGCCCCTAAATAAGATCTGGTGCAACCAATTACCTTCAGAAGTCACATAATTAGTTAAATAAAGTCCACCTGTGTGCAATCTAAGTGTCACATGATCTGTCACATGATCTCAGTATATATACACCTGTTCTGAAAGGCCCCAGAGTCTGCAACACCACTAAGCAAGGGGCATCACCAAGCAAGCGGCACCATGAAGACCAAGGAGCTCTCTAAACAGGTCAGGGACAAAGTTGTGGAGAAGTACAGTTCAGGGTTGGGTTATAAAAAAATATCAGAAACTTTTAACATCCCACGGAGCACCATAAAATCCATTATTAAAAAATTGAAAGAATATGGCACCACAACAAACCTGCCAAGAGAAGGCCGCCCATCAAAACTCACGGACCAGGCAAGGAGGGCATTAATCAGAGAGGCAACAAAGAGACCAAAGATAACCCTGAAGTAGCTGCAAAGCTCCACAGCGGAGATTGGAGTATCTGTCCATAGGACCACTTTAAACTGTACACTCCACAGAGCTCGGCTTTACGGAAGAGTGGCCAGAAAAAAGCCATTGCTTAAAGAAAAAAACAAGCAAACAGGCATGTGGGAGACTCCCCAAACATATGGAAGAAGGTACTCTGGTCAGATGAGACTAAAATTGAGCTTTTTGGCCATCAAGGAAAACGCTATGTCTGGCGCAAACCCAACACCTCTCATCACCCCGAGAACACCATCCCCACAGTGAAGCATGGTGATGGCAGCATGATGCTGTGGGGATGTTTTTCATCGGCAGGGACTGGGAAACTGGTCAGAATTGAAGGAATGATGGATGGCGCTAAATACAGGGAAATTCTTGAGGGAAACCTGTTTCAGTCTTCCAGAGATTTGAGACTGGGACGGAGGTTCATCTTGCAGCAGGACAATGACCCTAAGCATACTGCTAAAGCAACACTCAAGTGGTTTAAGGGGAAACATTTAAATGTCTTGGAATGGCCTAGTCAAAGCCCAGACCTCAATCCAATTGAGAATCTGTGGTATAACTTAAAGATTGCTGTACACCAGCGGAACCCATCCAACTTGAAGGAGCTGGAGCAGTTTTGCCTTGAAGAATGGGCAAAAATCCCAGTGGCTAGATGTGCCAAGCTTATAGAGACATACCCCAAGAGACTTACAGCTGTAATTGCTGCCAAAGGTGGCTCTCCAAAGTATTGACTTTGGTGGGGGGGGGGTGGGGGGGGTGGGGGGGGGGGGGGGGGGGGGTGAATAGTTATGCACGCTCAAGTTTTCAGTTTTTTTGTCTTATTTCTTGTTTGTTTCACAAGAACAAATATGTTGCATCTTCAAAGTGGTAGGCATGTTGTGTAAATCAAATGATACAAACCCCCAAAAAATCTATTTTAATTCCAGGTTGTAAGGCAACAAAATAGGAAAAATGCCAAGGGGAATGAATACTTTTGCAAGCCACTGTACATATTTACACACATCCTCACATAGTGGTGTTTTTATTAGTTAAAACCACAAACAGTTTGATCTTAACATTTGAAAAAGGGCTTTCTTAAATTCACTGTATGATTGTAATGTCCTGATTTCTGTAGGTAAATTGTTCCAGTCAGTTGGGTCTTTGTATCTGAAAGATCTTACTCCAACCTCATGATGTACCCTTGGAATTTGTGACTGCTACTGTTGTTGAAAGGAGTAGTGTGAGTCTTGTAAAGTTAGTAAATACAGGGAATTTTTTTATATATACAGGAAACAGGAGGTTGGTGGCACGTTAATTGGGGAGGACGGGCTCGTGGTAATGGCTGGAGCGAAATTTGTGGAATGGTATCAAATAGATAAAACAAATGTTTTTTTCCATGTGTTTGATGCCATTCCATTTACTTAGTTCCAGACATTATTATGAGCCATCCTCCCCCAGCAGCCTCCACTGATACAGGGAAATTTAAGTTGATACATTTAGAAAGAAATTGGTACCAATGCAGCTGTCTTCTGTTAGGGAGTGACAGCCCATTTAGTGATTCACACATTGTGCAATAATGTGTCTTTACAATTCTTAGATCTGTATAGTAATCCAAGCTTATAGTTTTTAGGGGGTAGATCAGCTTTAATTTTGCAGATAGATTGTAGCTTCCATCAATGTAATTGTCTGCATCACTTCCAATCCCCCATGTATTTTTTGCAAATATATACACTACCAGTCAAAAGTTTGGACACACCTACTCATTCAAGGGTTTTTCTTTATTTGTACTATTTTTTACATTGTAGAATAATAGTGAAGACATCTAAACTATGAAATAACACACATGGAATCATGTAGTAACCATAAAAGGGAGGGGGGGGGGGGGGGGGGGGGGGTATACAGAAGATAGCCCTATTTGGTAAAAGACCAAGTCTATATTATGGCAAGAACAGCTCAAATAAGCAAAGAGAAACGACAGTGCATCATTACTTTAAGACTTGAAGGTCAGTCAATATGGAACATTTCAAGAACTTTGAAAGTGTCTTCAAGTGCAGTCACAAAAACCATCAAGCGCTATGATGAAACTGGCTCTCATGAGGACCGCCACAGGAATGGAAGACCCAGAGATACCTCTGCTGCAGAGGACAAGTTCATTAGAGTTACCAGCCTCAGAAATTGCAGCCCAAATAAATGCTTCACAGAGTTCAAGTCACAGACACATTTCACCATCAACTGTTCAGAGGGGACTGTGTGAATCAGGCCTTCATGGTCGAATTGCTGCAAAGAAACCACTACTAAAGGACACCAATAGGGAAGAGACCTGCTTGGGCCAAGAAACACAAGCAATGGACATTAGACCGGTGGAAATGTCTCCTTTGGTCTGGAGTCCAAATTGAAGATTTTTGGTTCCAACCGCCGTGTTTTTGTGAGACGCGGTGTGCGTGAACGGATGATCTCTGCATGTGTCGTTCCCACCGTAAAGCACGGAGGAGGAGGTGTTATGATGCGGGGGTGCTTTGCTGGTGACACTGTCTGTGATTTATTTAGAATTCAAGGCACACTTAACCAGCATGGCTACCACAGAATTCTGCAGCGATATGCCATCCCATCTAGTTCGGGCTTAGTGGGACTATCATTTGTTTTTCAACAGGACAATGACCCAACACACCTCCAGGCTGTGAAAGGGCTATTTTACCAAGAAGGAGAGTGATGGAGTGCTGCATCAGATGACCTGGCCGCCACAATCCCCTGACCTCAACCCAACTCAGATGGTTTGGGATGAGTCGGACGGCAGAGTGAAGGAAAAGCAGCCAACAAGTGCTAAGCATATGTGGGAACTCCTTCAAGACTGTTGGAAAAGCATTCCAGGTGAAGCTGGTTGAGAGAATGCCAAGAGTGTGCAAAGCTGTCATCAAGGCAAAGGGTGGCTATTTCAAGAATTTTACGACCTAAAATATATTTGGATTTGTTTAACACTTTTTTGGTTACTACGTGTTATTTCATAGTTTTGATGTCTTCACTATTATTCTACAATGTAGAAAATAGTAAAAATAAAGAAACACCCTTGTATGAGTAGTTGTGTCCAAACTTTTGACTGGTACTGTATACATACACATATAAATACATACATATACACATACATACATACATACATATAAATACATATACATACATATATATACATATCCTTAAAAAAAAAAAAATCCTTTATTAATTGCTAACCCTACCACCTCTCCCCTAATTGGAGTAAACTAGTAAACAACAACACTTAGGCCTCTACTTCCAGCTTATACATACTATATACATTTTATGGACACAGTCTATTTTACAATAGTTCTATTTTGTTTGTTTTTACTCCTGTCCTTCCTCTACCCTCAACCTCTCCCATCTATGTCTGATGTCCATCCAGTTTGATTTCTATTTGCCATATCTTTCAAACTGTGCTCTTTCACAAAAGTTCTTAACCTATAACCTATATACGTTTTACGGACACATTATGTTTTACATTAGTTATCTTTATGTTATTAGTTGTTATCCAAGCTTATAGTTAATTGTTTTTCTAATATAATCAATATGCTTTCCAAAAGATTATTCAGAATATATCCTCAAACCCAGATATTTCAAACAATCAACACTTTCAAGCATTGTTCCATCACTTGCATGGATTTTGAAATGGCCAGCTGTGGAGTTTATTCTTTGCTGTGTACTTATCCATGCATCATTTTCTTAATGTGTGTGTGTGTGTGTGTGTGTGTGTGTGTGTGTGTGTGTGTGTATATATCAGAGTGAGGAGAAGAACCGTATTAACTCATCCTTGGAGAATCGTTTCCATGAATTGGAGACGCACTATGCCGAGGCCACCACACTAGTGCACTTACAAGGGACCCTCATCTACGACCTTCAGGTACACAGTACAGTACAGTACACATATTAATAATCCAAATACTTTTTTTCAAACATGTTGAGAGCTTGTTGCCAAGTTTTTTTTGCCGGTTGTCTGTCTCTCTAGGCCCAGATCCATAACCTGTCTCGGCTGGTAGAGAGCGTACGGAGGAACCCTGGCTGTATGATCAACATTGTCGGCACCAGCCCTCAGATGAGTTCAGAGGAGGCCCTGCATCCAGGTACATATACACCCATTCTTGATAAACACACACAATATCAGATATATAAGTTAATATTATAGCCTTATTTTAGATTTATTTAACACATCTACAATTCATTGGAGCCAAGTTCTACAATTTACCAGTAGGGGGAGACAAGCCTCCTTAAAAGTTCTCATCTGAGCCCAATATCCCACTGTTCATCTCTGCTCAAATACTGCATTTTTTTAGATTGTGTCAAATACTGATGAAACGCTCTGTTTTCTCTGTCCCCCAGAGGTGCAGCATGTGAGGAACTGTCCTATAGATTGTGCGTCTATCTACTATAACGGTGTGAGGCGCTCTGGTCTGTACACGGTGGTGCCTTCACTGGGGGCCATGCCTGTCGAGGTCTACTGTGACATGGAGACAGAGGGTGAGGGTTATATACACTCACACGTGTCACACACAAACATAGTTGGTTTTTGGTTTGAAGAACCAGTTTGATCAGTCAATAACGTTTCCTCATAATGTGTGTTTTGCATGTTTAATGTATACGTATCCTCTCCTTCTCCCAGGTGGTGGCTGGACGATGCTCCAGCGGCGTGTTGATGGCTCTGTGACCTTTGACCGGAGCTGGAGGGAGTATAAGGATGGGTTTGGTGATTTGCATTCTGAGTTCTGGCTGGGCAACGACCACATCCATGACCTGACCAGCCAGGGAGACTATAGCCTCAGGATTGACCTGGAGGACTGGAGCAACAAGCACAAACACGCCCTCTACGAGAGCTTCAGGTGGGGCTTAGAGACAAACATGCACACACAGGCACGCAGCCACATCACACACAAACATAGACATTCTACCAATAGAGTGCCTTTTGGGTAGTGTGATTGGTAGTGTAATTTGAACATTATGTCATGAAAGAATATTATAAAGAATATTATAAACGGACTGTAAAAGTGACTGGGTTGACCGTAAAAGTGTTGACAATTTAATATTTATCAGCCGTAACTCCCCATGTGACAGGGGGAATGAAAGATTGTTGTGTGCAACAGGGAGGGGGAATTGAATGCAAGCTTAGCAACAATATTTTAACTTGTTAAAACATTTCTAGCCTATAATGGGTAACAGGGTTGACGACATGTTATGCTCGATGTGCTCAGTTTTCCACCACAAAACACCAGAAAATGGCAAAAAATAGTAGAACCAGCTCAACTGCTTTTACACTATGATTTGACTATTAATGTTCAATGTTTCTTTTGAAAAAGGAATAGTTTTACCATATTAAAACGAGAGTCCAGTTCACGTTTCAGGGTAGACCTTAAACCCGAGGGACAAATGTTAATTTATCACTAATCACATTAAATAAGTAAAAACCTCAGAAATTACTTTTCCAAAGCAACAAAATAACCAGGGCTTTACAACAATGGTGAAAACTTGGGAAAATCTTGGGGTTAAGTAGGTTAACTTTTTTGCAGAAGTTGGACATTCCAAAATGGGGATTTTCTGAGAAAACAAATTATTTATTTGAATGAAAACACGCACTGTTATTGGAATTTGGAATGACCCAGACATTCTCTTTTGGGTGGCATTGTGTGTCTCGATACAGTGTGGATGGGGAGGACAGCCAGTACTGTCTCCACGTGTCTGGGTTCAGTGGCACGACGGAGGACTCATTCAGCTGGTACCATGACAAGCAGGGCTTCAGCACCCCCGACACGGGCAACATCTGTGCTGAGATCTCCCACGGAGGCTGGTGGTACAACCAGTGCTTCTACGCCAACCTCAACGGAGTCTACTACAGGGTAACAACCTCAACATACAGACAGACCCATGCACACACACACACACACAGCACAATAAATGACCTTATCAGATAGAACGTGAATGGTATGTGAGTGTTTGATAATGGTATGTGTGTAATGATAACAAAAAACATATTCATAACCAATCAAATGTTTTTTTATAATCCCCTTTTTACATCAGCAGTTGTGACAAAGTGCTTTGCCGATATTTACAGACCTATAGATATCTGATCACCGGTATTCCTCCCGTTACCACCCTGACCTCTGACCCTGACTGTGTTTGTGACCCCACAGGGAGGCCGGTATTCCCCCAAGGGGAAGAACCCTCTAGGACCAGACGGAATCGTGTGGTATTCCTGGAAGGACTCGGACTACTACTCTCTAAGGAAAGTCAGTATGATGATCCGCCCACGCACCTTCCGCCCACGTATGTCGCCCTGAGCAACCACCGCATGGCCATGACAACCACCCCTGACAATGGTCAGGCTCCATGATGGCTCGTCTGATCTGATGACATCACCATAGATGTACATGCTCCACACTTTTACAGTGAAATGTGCTGTAACCTTACTCACTGGTCTGGACAAGGAGTGAGATGGATTTTCAATGTGTGCATATATTTTTGCATAATGTTTACATTTGCATATGTGGCCATGCCACCAATAAGCCTGAAGTTCAGCAGAACAGAGCAACAGACTGGCAGGCACAGGAGGCTGGTGAGGGGAGGACGGCTCATAATAATGGCTGGAATGGAGTAAATGGAATGGTATCAAACACATGGAAACCATGTGTTTGATACCATTCAATTTATTCCATTCCAACCATTACTATGAGCCCATCCTCCCCAATTAAGGTGCCACCAGCCACCTATGCTCAGTGAGACAAGCTGAGTCCTGGATACAGTGGCATGTTGTACTAAGGTCTTCTGACCAATACAGACACAACAGATATTATCCAGTGAACTCGGAAAAACAAGTATTGTATGGAAGGGGTGGCACACGTCGAGTAGTCCTTTATGTGTGTGTTGACCTGCCTAGAAGATGGTTGGAGTTACATAGATTCCACAGTCCTGTACTAAAATCACATGACTGTGCCAAACTAACAGCCTATTGCTGGAGGGAGGAAGGGGAACTATACTCCTATAGAGTCACAGTCGGGTGGACAATATACTATACAGTACATAACGTGCTATATATTATACCATACATAATATATAGAAGAGGAAAGACACCGTTTAAACTGCAATGTGTGTTAGTGTGATGACTAAGGGCTGAATCCCAACTGGAAAAACACAAAACTCACATTAATGTCAATCTAACGTTCTTACATTTTAGCAGATGCTTTTAACCAGAGTGACTTAATGGAGCAATTAGGGTTAAGTACCTTGCTCACGGGCACTGACAGATTTTTCACCTAGTCGGCTTGGGGATTCAAACCAGCGACCTTTCGGTTATTGGCCCAACGCTATTAACCGCTAGGCTACCTGCCGCAGTTCTTAAACTGCAGTTAGCATTCAGACATGAGGAATTATGTGTATGTTTATGGCCTTGTGTGCAGAGGGAGATATTTAACACTGTGTGTGTGTGTAGAGTGAGATTTTTAATTATTTGTGTGTATAGAGTGAGATACACTACATTACTAAAAGTATGTGGACACCTGCTCGTCGAACATCTCATTCCAAAATCATGGGTATTAATATGGAGTTGGTCCCCCCTTTGCTGCTATAACAGCCTCCACTCTTCTGGGAAGGCTTTCCACTAGATGTTGGAACATTTCTGCGGGGACTTGATTTCATTCAACCACAAGAGCGTTAGTGAGGAGGGGCGCTGATGTTGGGCGATTAGGCCTGGCTTTGCAGTCAGCGTTCCAATTCATCCCAAAGGTGTTCGATGGGATTGAGGTCAGGGCTCTGTGCAGGCCAGTCAAGTTCTTCGATACCGATTTCGACAAACCATTTCTGTATGGACCTCGCTTTGTGCACAGGGGCATTGTCCTGCTGAAACAGGAAAGGTCCTTTCCCAAACTGTTGCCACAAAGTTGGAAGCATAGAATAATCTAGAATGTCATTGTATGCTGTAGCGTTAAGATTTCTCTTCACTGGAACTAAAGGGCCTAGCCCGAACCATGAAAAACAGCCCCAGACCATTATTCCTCCTCCACCAAACTTTACAGTTGGCATATCTCCTGGCATCTGCCAAACCCAGATTTGTACGTCGGACTGCCAGATGGTGAAGCGTGATTCATCACTCCAGAGAACACGTTTCCACTGCTCCAGAGTCCAATGGCGGCGAGCTTTACACCAATCAATCAATCAAATTGTATTTATAAAGCCCTTTTTACATCAGCAGATGTCACAAATGCTATACAGAAACCCAGCCTAAAACCCCAAACAGCAAGCAATGCAGATGTAGAAGCTTGGCATTGCGCATGGTGATCTTAGGCTTGTGTGAGGCTGCTCGGCCATGGAAACCCATTTCATGAAGCTCCTGACTAACAGTTCTTGTGCTGATGTTGCTTCCAGAGGCAGTTTGGAACTCGGTAGTGAGTGTTGCAAACAAGGAAAGAAGATTTTTACGGGCTTCAGCACTCGGTGGTCTTGTTCTGTGAGCTTTTGTGGCCTACCACTTCGCGTCTGAGCCGTTGTTCCTCCCAGACCTTTCCACTTCACAATAACAACACTTACAGTTGACCGGGGCAGCTCTAGCAGGGCAGAAAGTTGACGAACTGACTTGTTGGAAAGGTGACATCCTATGACGGTGCCACGTTGAAAGTCACTGAGCTCTTCAGTAAGGCCATTCTACTGCCAATGTTTGTCTATGGAGAATGCATGGCTGTGTGCTCGATTTTGTACACCTGTCAGCAACGGATGTGGCTGAAATAGCCGAATCCACTAATTTGAAGTGTCCACATACTTTTGTATATATAGCATATTTAACTCTTCGTAGAGTGAAATATGTAACTCTTTGTGGGTGTAGAGATAGAGACCCAGCTGCACCTGATTTCAGTCAGAGCTGGGTGCAGGCAGAGTACAGGGTGAAAGACCTCTTTCATTCCTCCCCTCATAATCAGCACAAACACACTCTTTGACACTCCGCTCCGCTCATAGACCAACTCATTCTCATTCCTATCCATCTCTACACATTTTTCAGACGGGGGAATAAGGGGTCTGCTGTGTGTGTATGAGTGTGTGTGGGTGTGTGTCCTCCCAAATACACACACAGTCCGTCAGAACAAGACATGACTCACACTCACTCCCACAAACACACAAAGAAAATGCAGAAATGTACACAGAGTACAAATCATTTTTATTAAATCAAACTGAATTTTTCCTCTTTCTGGGTGACAACGTATCGCAAATATTTCTATACATAAAATAATATCTCAACAACCAAAAAGCACATGCATCAGATAGAATATATATTTATTTGTATTTATCATGTGACGAGAATAGAAAGAGGGAGATTAAAGAATGATTGAAGATTGCACTGCGGTATTAAGTGGAGTGAGGCAGAGAAGAGCAAAGCTGTCAGACACCTGGATAAAGGCATGGCTGTGTATCAATTGGGAGGAGCATTGGCTCGCTGAAGTTTGGCTTCCATGGACAAGGAGTAGCCTCCCATTGCATAACCTCTAACATTCCCCATCGGAATCTGTCCTTCTAGAAGGGAGAGGAGCAGGATTCCATGTTTTGGGAAAGGCATGAAGAGTAAAAACGAGCGAAGCATGCAGTTCTATTTTCTACAGAACGTCAACAAGGCACAGTGACAGGAAAGGGTCGAGCTTCCTGTTAGCAATTGAGGAAGTGAGTGAAGGAAGGGGCGGGGCACTGCCAGCAGTGTTCAGACACACTCACAAGCAAGGGGCGTGGTGACACACTCTCTCTCATATCTGCCAGAACTTAGCTGACATGGCATAATGCAACATCTCTACGCTGAACTGTGTGTGTGTGTGTGTGTTTCAATCACTTAAAAAAATCATAATCACAATTTCTGTGGAAATGCTGTGATTAGAAGAAAAAAATGATGCTGGGGTAAGGTCCAAATGATGACCAACAAAGGGGATAATAACGGACAATGGAGGGAAAACAACATCCACAAAGACGTGCTTGGTCACGGGACAGATCCATAACACATACAGCCAAACATTAGCAGAGAACCAAGGTAAGGAACTGTAGGTTTACTATAATGCGGAACTGAGGAAGTCATGACTAGCCCATGGATTCAGTCAAACATGGAAATGCACACAGTATCCCCTTATGCCAGCGAAAGAGAGCTGCGCTTTGAGCTCTGCATTTTGAGTGAATCATTGAGGCAGTGAGGGCAATGCTTAACTGTGCAATATGTTCAGAGGGCCTGAATTTTTGTTATGTTACCTTGACCTGAGACACAGGAAGTAGTCAGTGTTGTTTCCTGTGGGACTGGGCTGTGTTGTGCTGTATGTGGCACCAGCTGTGTATCAGGCACTGCTAACATCCACCCATCTGGTTTTCAACTGTTTATACCTTTTCCTAAACAGTTCCTAGACTGTTTATAACAGAATACATTAGCATCATTAGCTAACGACTTCAGGAAATGAAATTGCACTGAGCGCAAAGGGAAAAAGCAACAGAGAGAGAAATAGAAAAAGAGAGATCTCTAGGGTGTTGAGCTGGCTTCGGCTTGCATCTTCAGTCTTGGGAGGCAGGTGGGTTTACATGGTGGTGAATTGACTGTGTGCTTGCTTCAGCTTCTCAGCAATCTGCCCAAACAAGGATTAAAGAGAAAAATCCCATTGAAAGCCATGTGCTGAATGCCTAAATAAAAGCATTCATCAGATTGGAGAATTGTTGATGGACTAATATTTGTATGTACAGATGTATCTATTCATAGCAGTCACTCTCATTGCAGACCTTGTGACCAGGATCGGAGACAATTGCATGTGAGCATGTGGAAATTACCCATTAATTAATATAATTTCAATGCTAGCAATACTCAATTGCTTGAGATCGACTGTCATTCAGGCTAAGAACTCATAGGTTTTCTATTTGAGAAGAAGCTACTGACGTGTGAGCTAAAAGTGTGTTTTCTGGCTATGTGGGAGTGTTTCTTTGTACAGTGTGGTCTGGACGACTGTTCTTACAGTCTCGTAGAACTTCACTTGCTCCTCCAGGTACAGCTGCATCACCCTGTTGTAGTCGTAGATACGGTTGCTATGGAAGTGGTTCATCTCAGCTGTGGGCAGGGAGAAAACAGGAAATCCACTTTGTCACATGATGTAGTACAGATGATGGAACCATCTCTTTATACGCCATAGGCTTACAGCACCTTGTGCTAGCACATTTAACCATTGCTAACACATTTAGCATTAGCCCAGTAGCCTTACCTTGTAGTGCGTATGACATGGTGCTAACACGTTTAGCCATGGTCACTTTGTCCTGAGGGGTGATCTTGCTAGCTGCCACCAGCCGGTCTCCCTCCTTCACCTTCTCTATGGCCGCCTACCAGTGAAAAGAGAGAACAGTCTACAGCTTTGCACAAAATACCTAGGGATTCAACTTTACAGCTATACTGGATTAAACATGGATCTACATTAATGGCAAAGACACTGTAGGTCCTAACCAAAATAAAATGTCATTTTCATATGGTTGTTATTCTCTCTCTCCTCTGCCCTAGACTCAGTATCATGTGAACACCAATTCATCCCTCCCTCCCTCCCTCCCTCCCTCCCTCCCTCCCTCCCTCCCTTCCTCCCTTCCTTCCTTCCGCCCTCCCCTGTAGGAGCCTACCTTGTGTACTCCAATGGTGTCAGGGAAGCATCCCAGAAGGCCTTTGTACTCATTGTTGTTCTCCATGAGGAAGTGCAGGTCTTTCCTGGGCTACAGGGAGAGAACAGGGACAATTAGATATCAATCACACACACATACACACAGCCGCACAACCCAATATCCGCTGCAAACAGAGCAAAAGCCAGTTCACAATGCACTTTTTGTACTGAGACAGAAAAGCCAATGAAAAAGATGAGTACATTAATACAACTGTGACATCATCATCGGACAAAGAAATAAATATCAATGTTTCAAATGGCAAAAAACAGGAAACCACAAAAAAATGATAGAAAAATGACCAAAAAAGGAGATAATAAAGAACCATGGAGGGAAAACAACATCCACAAAACGTGCTTGGTCACGGGAGAGATCCATAACACATCCATCCAAACATTACCAGAGAACCAAAGTAAGGAACTGTAGGTTTGCTATAATGTGGAACTGAGGAAGTCATTAGTAGCCCATGGATTCAGTCAAACATGGAAATGCAAACAAATTATCCCCAATGCCAGGGGAAAAGTGCTGCGCTTTGAGCTCTGTACTTTGAGTGAATCCATGTACTATCTATAATATACAGTGCCTTCGGAAAGTATTCAGACCCCTTGACTCTTTCCACATTTTGTTAGGTTACGGCCTTATTCTAAAATTGATTAAATTGTTTTTTTCCCTCATCAATCTACATTTACATTTTAGTCATTTAGCAGACGCTCTTATCCAGAGCGACTTACAGGAGCAATTAGGGTTAAGTGCCTTGCTCAAGGGCACATCGACAGATTTTTCACCTAGTCGGCTCGGGGATTAGAACCAGCGACCTTTCGGTTACTGGCACAACGCTCTTAACCACTAAGCTACCTACCGCCCCCAATCTACACACAATACCCCATAATGACAAAGCAAAAACAGGTTTGTAGAAATTGTTGCTAATTTATAAAAAATGAAAAAGTGAAATATAACATTTACATAAGTATTCAGACCCTTTACTCAGTACTTAGTTGAAGCACCTTTGGCAGCGATTACAGCCTCGGGTGTTCTTGGGTATGACGCTACAAGCTTGGCACACCAGTATTTGGGGAGTTTCTCCCATTCTTCTCTGCAGATCCTCTCAAGCTCTGTCAGGATGGATGGGGAGCGTCGCTGCACAGCTATTTTCAGGTCTCCCCAGAGATGTTCGATCGGGTTTAAGTCCGGGCTCTGGCAGGGCCACTCAAGGACATTCAGAGACTTGTCCCGAGGCCACTCCTGCGCTGTCTTGGCTGTGTGCTTAGGGTTGTTGTCCTGTTAGAAGATGAACCTTTGCCCCAGTCTGAGGTCCTGAGTGCTCTGGAGCAGGTTTTCAACAAGGATCTCTCTGTACTTTGCTCCATTCATCTTTGCCTGGATCCTGACTAGTCTCCCAGAAAAACATCCCCACTGCATGATGTGCCTTTTACTGAGGAGTGGCTTCCGTCTGGCCACTCTACCATAAAGGCCTAATTGGTGGAGTGCTGCAGAGATGGTTGTCCATTTGGAAGGTTCTCCCATCTCCACAGAGGAACTCTAGAGCTCTGTCAGAGTGACCATAGGGATCTTGGTCACCTCCCTGACCAAGGCCAGCTCTAGGAAGAGTCTTGGTGGTTCCAAACTTCTTCCATTTAAGAATGATGGAGTCCACTGTGTTCTTGGGGACCTTCAATGCTGCAGGAATGTTTTGGTACCCTTCCCCAGATCTGTGCCTCGACACAATCCTGTCTCGGAGCTCTACGGACAATTCCTTCGACCTGATGGCTTGGTTTTTGCTCTGACATGCACTGTCAACTGTGGGACCTTATATAGACATGAGTGTGCCTTTCCAAATCATGTCCAATCAATTGAATTTACCACAGGTGGACTCCAAACAAGTTGTAGAAACATCTCAAGGATGATCAATGGAAACAGGATGTACCTGAGCTCAATTTCGAGTCTCATAGAAAAGGGTCTGAATAATTTGCCAAAATGTCTAAAAACCTGTTTTCGCTTTGTCATTATGGGGTATTGTGAGTAGATTGATGAGGGGGAAAAAAACAATTTAATCAATTTTAGAATAAGGCTGTAATGTAACAAAATGTGGAAAAAGTCAAGGGGTCTGAATACTTTCCGAAGGCACTGTACACAGACAGCACTGTGTCTGAGTGCTAGTAACTACCCAGGACTGGAACTACACAGCTAATGCTATTGATTGGTGGAGGTCAAAGGTAAAAAATAAGTCAAACAGAGTCTGGAGTGAGGACAGAAACCTCTGGACTGGAGCAACACATGCTTACCAGATGAGTCCTCCATGTGGACGCTGCTGTGACAATATCAAAAACAAGGCCAGGCTTTGATTTCAGTACAAACCACACTACACCATCATAGATATAAGTCAGAGAACTGATATTCAAACATTATGTTCAACTGAACTGTCAGGGGAACATAGGGAACATATTGGGCTCTGGTTAGTGCTGGTGGCCTTGAATTAATGTCATGGAGTAATCTATATAAGTCTTGACCTCTTCCCTTCAGATAACACACACAGGATGCTTAGTGAGAGGTTCAAAAGAAGGTCAGAACTAGGATATAAACAGACACTGTGAGGCCACAGGAAATGCATGCGGACATCCAGGAAGTGACATCAGACAGGAGCAGCTTGGGGCGATGAAGAGAAGAGAGAGACCAAATGAACGGGAATAGAGCACAAGGCCTCTGGGGTTACAGGAAGTACTCAGAGCACCCCCAAAGCTGCCCCTCAAAGTACACTAGTATACATTCCTTCAAAGGCTTATTTTGGATTCCAAGGCCTCAACAACAACCGAGACAAAAAAAACAAGGCTACGTCTGATGTATAGCACACATTTCCTTTGAAATAATAATAAACATATTTACAGCCCTTGAGCAACTACACTCAACAGGAGACTCTTCAGGAGCCTCTGAGTGGAATAATCTGCCTCTGTTAAAACTATTCCCACTCTGAGTATCTTTAAAAGAAGGTGAAATCCTGGTTAATGGATAGTGTGCTTGTGTGAGCAATCCCTCCTAGCCCAATGATGATGACCAAATAGCATTCCTTTGTGTATAGTGTGTAAACTGGATGTTGTTTTGTTCTTATTATGACTAAGTAACCAAATTGATCTGCCAGTTTAGATTATTATATATTTTTTATACTGCCACATTATGCCAAACGCTATCATGAAAGAGGACCACAATGGAAATAAGTCGTAGACCTTTTTGTGCTTTTTTTGTGTTTATCCTCAATGATTCTTAATCAAGTGCATACTTTTGTATGTGTATTGTTGGATTCTAGCTTGAAATTTACTTAGTCATGTTACCATTCTAGAACTTACTGATTACATTTTCACTTAGGGGTGTACTCACTTTTGTTGCCAGCGGTTTAGACATTCATGGCTGTGTGTTGTGTTATTTTGAGGGGACAGCAAATTTACACTGTTATACAAGCTTTACACTCACTACTTTACATTGTAGCAAAGTGTCATTTCTTCAGTTTTGTCACATGAAAAGATATACTCAAATATTTACAAAAATGTGAGGGGTGTACTCACTTTTGTGAGATACTGTACATACATACATACATATCCTTTTTTAACTTATATTTCCCTTCATTACTTTCCCACCCCACCACCCCTTCCCCAATTGGAGTAAACTAGTGAACAACAACGCTTAGGCCTCTAATTCCAGCCCATACATACTATATATATTTTATGGACACAGTCAAATTCTACAATAATTATATTTTGTTTGTTTTTACTCCTGAACTTCCTCCGATCATTTTCATGATGTCCATCTGGTTTGCTTCTATATGCCATATTTTTCTAACTGTGCTCTTTCACAAAAGCTCTCAACCTATAACCTATATACTTATTATGGACACAGTATGCTTTACATTAGTTTTCTTGTTGTTATTAGTTGTTATTATTAGTCCCATCCTTCAGCTCCATTCAACACCTCCTATCTACCTCTTAACACCATCCATATTGGATTTCTATTTGCCATATATTTTTCAACTGTACTGTGATATTTTACAAAAGTTCTGAACCTTTCTATTCTCATTGTTTCTACAGATCGTAAATTGAAAATAAACATTTTTGCTAAAAGTATTATTATATTATTGATCGATTGACTATGACTTTTCAGATCACCCAGTAGTGCTATCTGCAGGGTTAGCTCCAGGTAAATATTGCAATCCTTTAGCCATTCCTGGATCTGTGACCAAAAACAAGCTCAAGGTTGGTGTGAAATTATTAAACATGTATTCTCTCCCTTCCCTGTTCAAGTCAATATGTATTCTAAGTGGCGTGGAACATGAGTGATCATTGTTCCAGATGAGGGACTGTTGGACACTGACTAATTGACTTGAGCACGTTTTAGTATGTTTATAACTATATAAGTGGCCTAGCAGTAGTAATTAATGTGTAATGGGTTAGATGGAATGATCTATGTGCAAATGTATTTGTGGCAGGAGAAAAGTACAAAGGGGGCCTGTCTCTGAGACAGAATGTTCCCATAATAGTGAGATAGGAGGCATATGATAGAGATAACACTATAGATTGTGAACTATTTCCCTATAACACTGTCTTATAGCTTCACTGTTTTCTATCATTATATTCTCTCAATATGTTATAGCTTCACTGATTTATATTATTGTATTCTCTCTATGTTTTGCATCATGATATTCACTTGAGTAGGAATGGGTTGCTTATTCTCAAATAGCTGTTTGTGTATGTCATTATCAGTTGTCCAACAGGAGGGGTAATGGCAGATAATGGGGGTGGGAGTAAGAGTGTGCATAGTGATTATAGGGTTGAAGCCAGGGCCTTATGCCATAGAAGCGGATTACATAGTCAAAGGCCATAAGTCTCGGAGGTGTAAACATACAAATCAACTGAGAATTGCTGATGCTCCAGATACTCAACTAGTCTCAAGAAGACCAGTTTTATTGCTTCTTTAATCAGCACAACAGTTTTCAGCTGTGCTAACATAATTGCAAAAGGGTTTTCTAATGATCAATTAGCCTTTTTAAATGATAAACTTGGATTAGCAAACACAACGTGCCATTGGAACACAGGACTGATGGTTGCTGATAATGGGCCTCTGTACGCCTATGTAGATATTCCATTAAAAATCAGCCAGTTTCCAGCTACAATAGCCATTTACAACATTAACAATGTCTACACTGTATTTTTGATCAATTTGATGTTATTTTAATGGACAAAAAAAGTTATTTTCTTTAGAAATCAAAGCAATTTCTAAGTGACCCCAAACTTTTGAACAGTGGTGTATATGTTGGGGTCAATGAAGGGTGGATAGGAACTTGGTATATGGGAAGTTACTGAGTGAGACAAGGGGAAGTGCAGAAAGTTCATATTCTGTTCCTAAGGAGGGAGGCAAAGGGCAACAGTCTAGTTAGTCTCAGATAAGTCAGGCCAGCTGCGGAACTAGGGAGAAGCGAGGAATTCGGCTCGAGGTCAAGTCAACAGATGAAGTGAGAAGAAACCCTCTGGGAGGGGGGCCAAAGGGGCCCACCACACTGACTCTCCTACTACAGTGTCACGCCCTGATCTAGAGAACTCTTGTTGGTTGGGTCAGGGTGTGAGTTTCAGTTGAGATCTATGTCATTGTATATCTATGTTTAGATCTAGTTTGGTATTTCTATGTTTGGCCGGGTGTGATTCCCAATCAGAGGCAGCTGTCGCTCGTTGTCTCTGATTGGGGATCATACTTAGGTAGCCTGATTGCCTACCTTAGTTGTGGGATCTTGTTTGTGTTCCTGTTAGGCTTGTTGTGTGTATAGCCCATAGGACTTCACATTTTCGTTGTTTTGTTATTTTGTCAAGTGTTTATTCGTATAAATAAATATGTACGCATATCACGCTGCACCTTGGTCTGACCCGTCTCTCAACGACCGTGACATACAGTCCTATCTCACAAACACACTTCCACGCCCACGAAGGTTCTAGCATCAGACAGCACCATCACTACACCAGTGAGAGGAACCAATTAATTCCTGCCTAGCAACAGAAATGTATTGGCTGTCCAGATGTGTAAGGAGTTGACCCCGCCTAGTAGGAGGTTATAAATATGTGCTTGTGTAATCATGCTTTGTCTTTGCAGCTGTATGACCTAGTGGGTGAATAAAGTTGGTTTGAGCTTTTTCTAGTCGTCCGTTTGAGTTTTTACTCTGTTTGTTCAGAACCTAACAGTTTCTTGTTTTTAAATGATCAAATAAACTAAAATGGAAATTCAATTCTGACACTGAAAATAACCACACATTCTGATCATTACTTTAAACCCAGAGGAGATAAAGGGTTAAGAGAGAGACCCAGGAGAGAAACCTGCAGGTGATGACCTGTAATGGTACTGTACCTGCTCAGCCACCATCTGAGCTATCTCCTCATAGGTCTTTCCTGCTGAAGTCATGGCATCGGTGAGGGTGGCCTCTCCTGCAGATACAAGAACCTGGTTTTTACATTACATGCAAGAATACTTATATTGAACAAACTAAAACATACAGAGATCCATATATATCCCATTTAGTGGGGTCAATGTGTGTCTAAGCATGCCTACCTTGGTATCCACTGCTGGTGAAGACAGACGAGAGGTTCTGGAAGGCCTTGCCAATCCTCTGGTACTCTTTGGGCAAAGCTGAGGACACAGATACGGTCATGCGCTATAACTATGTAGCCTGCATAGCTGCTGTGTAGTGTTTATGTAGTGTATACATACGTCCTGTGCATCTCTTCCAGTGCTCCTGGCCCACTGTGAGTAGGTCCTTCACACCATCATCCATGGCTTTGGTGAAACGACTGAACTGATCACACTTCTGCTCCCTGTTACACAATGGAAACAAAATGAAAAAAAAAAACCATAACATTTCTTATTGTGTATGTCTGCTACAGAGTGGTGTGATGTCACTCACACTTCGATGGGGTCCAGGTCGGGGGCTTCAGGCTCTATGGAGGAGAAGATCATCACTCCCACGTCCTCGTCTTTCTCCGCTTTTCTCTTCCCTGTTTTCCAGTCCTGCAACACAACAACACAGTGCTCAGTAGCCAATTCTAATTGTCACTACCAGTCCTGTACAGTCAGAGCTCCATGTCCAGTCTGATGCTGCACCCCTCTGCTGTTCCTGTTCCTGGGGGAGGAAGATGAGGAAGACTCCTACTGTACCTTCTCGTCCTTGTAGGTCAGGAAGAGTTGGAAGACGTCGCTGTTGGAGACCACAGGGTGCCGACACATCCTGGTCATCCAGCCCTGCAACCTCTCCATCCTCATCTTGATAAACTCCTCCTCAAAACGCCCTGGCAGAGAGGGAGGGAGAAAGGGCTAGAGAGAGCAGATATAAGCTGTGTGCATTGAAAAGAGCACCCCAGCCTCCCCATATTCCTTCCTACATTGAGTGAACTCCTCTTCTATAGGATAGACAGAACGTTTTTCAGTGGAGGAGAGAAGAGGAGAGGTTAGCAGGTCAGTCTCTCACCTGTGACCTGCTTGTCCGGTAGAGAGGGGATGGGGATGGCCGAACCAAACTTGTCCAGTAGCCTCTCATACAGCCAATCAAAGTGCTTGTATCGGTGATTGACGGGTCTGTTTGTGGTCTGCAAACCAATCACACAAAGTTAACATGCACTACAATGCCAATGGGTTGGCATAATCTTGGCTTTCGGCAACTGCAGCTTTTCTATGAGACAGCTTGTTATTTATATCAGGCATTTCGACAATGTATCTGTCCCTAGAAATGATAGAGACAGAAACATTAATGACCATTCACATTGATACTAGTAGTGGTCCCACAGATACTTACGTTGGGTATGACTTGGTACTCGATGTAGCTCTTCAGGCCGTACATCTTGGTGCCCTTCTTGGGGTCGGCTACGACACAGTCCAGCTGAGCCTCTGGATAGGACCACACTGGACCAACCTCCCCCATCTGTGACGGAGCAGAGACAACACTACTAAATCCTACAAGATGATGCTTAATTGTACTGCCAACATCAGCTATTTGAAAAGACTACAGTACAAAAAATTGCTAAACAACACAGCCAACCACACTCCATTCAATGTCCAGTACTGATGAAAGTCCTCCACCAACTCACATAGATGGTTATCTTATCCTTTCCCTTGGGTGGCTGCTTGCAGAGGAGGAACAGCTCAGGACCAGACTTGGAGAACCCGGGGAACCTGCTCAAAGAAGAACACACAGGGGTAAAGGTCAGGGGTTAAGGGTCAGGGTTTAGGTAGAAAGGGACACTTGACAGTCTGGAAGTCCAACGGCAATGGTTTAACAGAGTTGGGCTAACTATCCTCCACCAAACGTCTCAGATTCTAAACCTAAAACTAATATAGCCAAACTCAATGTTTATGACTGTGGGTAAAACGGGTCTTTAGGTCATGGCTAGTGTTGGTGGGTTCAGTGTGATGGTTTGGAGTAGCAGTAGTAGTAGTAGTAGTAGTAGTAGTAGTAGTAGTAGTAGTAGTAGTAGTAGTAGTAGTAGTAGTAGCAGTAGCAGTAGTAGTAGTAGCAGTAGCAGTAGTAGTAGCAGTAGTAGTAGTCAGCTCTGTCTTACTTGTTGAGGGAGATCTTCATGGAGGAGCCAGTAGCCCCTCCTCTCTGGATGGCCCCTCCATCTCCAGACTCAGAGTTCGACTTCACATCATCCCACTCATCATCCCACTCATCGTCCTCCGCTCCTACCCACACACACACACGCACACACACACACACACGAACACACACACACACACCCTTAGTAACCAAATACATGGAAGAGAGACCAAACAGCATAAAAAGCTTAACCGAGATCAGAGAACATGCACTAGACCAGTGGGTTTCACACCTCTCCTCGAGGACCCCCATCCGTTCTTATTCCAGAGCTAGCACACCTGATTCCAATCATCAACTAATCATCAAGCCCTTGATTAGAGAATTAGGTGAGCTACTTCAGGGCTACAACGAAACTGTGAAACATCTGGGGGTGCCCGATGAGAGGTTTGAAAACCGCTGCACTAGACTACCCCGTGCTATGTTTTGAGAGAAAAATTATAAATATACTGTAGAGTATCTATATACTGTAGAGTATTTGTTCAAACAGAAACCACAACCTACGACCAATCAACAAAACAGCAAACCACTATATCAGTCTAGATAATCAGTTAGATATATCTTCAAAATCAACCAATTCATTAATTTGACCTATAAATACACTATGTGAATAGCTTTCTTGAGGGAAAATACACACAATGCACACACATGCCTGCAATAGAGAAAGTAATGTAATGTTACTGGTTATACACATGCCAGACATTTTCTTAAAACAAAAAGCAGTCAACACTCGCACAAACAGGGAAACCCTCCCGGCAGGCAATGCATGGTGGGATACCTGACCAGTCAATAAGGTAGGGATATGGATAGATATCTTTGGAGGAAGAAAAAGAGGCACTTTGTTATTTTGTTCATTCAATCAGTCACTTCTTTATTCAGGATATGAATAGTTTTAAAATAGGAAGTGAAAAACCAAAGCCAGCGGAATCTCTGCAAAGGCGAGTGATCTCATAACTATCGCTGACATCACTCTCCCCTGTTTAAGACCACAACTTGAAAATGCATTGCGAAACACCACTCTTCATGCATGCCAAAGGCTATATTCTTAGAACACAAAACATAGATATTAACAACGGATAAAGTTCCTAAAAAGAGGTATAACAAGGGGAAAAAATAATAATCTGAAGACAGACATCTTTCTGCAAGGCTTTTGCCAGAAACTTGCTAAAGTAGGTCTTTACTACAGTATTTCTACCAAATTATTACCAAAGTATTAAGATCCATAAAGGAGCCCTCATTGACCTTTAGTTCCCCTAGAACAGTGGCTCTTACCTGGGCCCTGGTAGGCCTGAGGATGGCTCTGTGCTGTGGAGCCCCAGGGGTCAGGGGCAGCACTCTTGCCGGTCATGGTGCCCTCCGGCTGGGCCGCCCAGTTGTTGGAGGAACCTCCCGTGGTGTCCTGGTTCCATACCGACCACGGGTCTTTACCGTTACTCGGCCTAGAGGAGAGAGAGAGAGTAGAGAGAAGAGAGGGAGAGAAAAGGAGGTAGGGGTAAAGGACAGCCTGTTTAACAATCAACCAATACTGGTTTTAAATGACTTGTCAGGGAAATAAATTACAGGGTTTATAACTTGACTTTATAGAAATTTGAAAAGAAGACTGCTTGAGAAGAATGGACATAAAACATGAAACAAGGAAGAAAAGATGGTGTTCTACCTCCAACCCTTACCTGTCAGACTACCTCCCCAAACATCCCACTCAAAATACAGAGTCAGAAAACACACACGTGTGATTGTGTGTTGAATGGTATGGAAGTTGAACCCTGGCCTTGAAGGTACAGCGTGTTTCCTCAAGTCACACAATATAATATAAAAAAGTCTCTCTCGCACAATGCCACTGTAATGCTTTTTTTAATAATTAAGAAATTCATGCCTCCTATTCAAGTCCAGCATTGTGACGTACTGTACTTGAACCATTCAGATCATGCCAAGGCACGGCAGGATGCAACAAGTCACTGTAAGTATTTCTCCCATTGAATTCCATGGCTGGAGGACCACACAAACAGAACGGACACACATCTCATGCTGTCTACAGTCAGTCAGTCATTCACTGAGACCATAGAAGGACTTTACATCAAGACAATCCACAGGACAACTGCATGCCATGCGTATGGGGCAGACGTTTGCCATGCCGCAAGAATGTGTGTGTAGATCAGGGCTGTTCCTGGAGAGCTACCCTTCCCTAGGTTTTCGCTCCAACACCATTTGTAACTAACCTGATTCATCTTATCAACCAGCTAATTATTAGAATCAGGTGCGCTAGATTAGGGTTGGAGCGACAAACCTACAGGATGGTAGCTATCCAGGAACAGGATTGGAGAGCCCTGGTGTGGTGTGTGTGTGTGTGTGTGTGTGTGTGTGTGTGTGTGTGTGTGTGTGTGTGTGTGTGTGTGTGTGTGTGTGTGTGTGTGCGTATGTGAGATGTGTGCATTTGGATAGGAAGTTGCTGATCAAACATCTCCATAGTAGGCTACTTACAGTAAGCCACAAAACAAACAGAGGGAGAGAGAGTACAGTAGAGGAACACTGTGGTGGGGAACACAGGCTCACAGCAGCTGCAGTGTGTTACCACAGAACAGTTTTGAGTTATTCTGCTGAATTGTTTAACACTTTGTTTACAACATATAAAAACAATGGTAGAATTGAGACAAATGATTGCTGGCTCTTGCCTGGTGGGAGAGCATGTTCACTGATCACTGTAATAATTGATTGGTTATAGGGATATGTGAATGTTGAGATCATTTGTTTGGTGTTCTGTGCTGATAAGAAACATTGATCCATAGCGGTGCATGTTGTATCAGAGAGGTGCTGATCAATTTAATTAATCTGTGATGGGATCGGTGTTTGGGGTGTGTGGAGGTGTAGGGGGATGGTAGGCCTGATTAGGCCTCTGATTTGAAGGTTCCAGTTACCATTTACCCTTACCAACTGGCCCCAGGTCAGTTGTAGTTTGATGGGCAGAAAGTAAGTGGATCCTGCTTTGGCGAGTAGGAGAGGGTGGGGGTGGTATAGTGTAAGATCATGCTCTTGCAGGCTGAGCTGGGGGTGGGGGGGGGGGGGGGTTGCAGGTGGGCAGATTGGAGATGGGAGGTGGGGGACGGGGCCATGTTTGTGCCCCTGACCCCCGCCCGGTGCTGGTTACCTCGTCTGGGGAAGAGGAGGAAGGGGGGACCGGGGTGTCGGGGGTGTCCGGCTGAGGACTACAGGCCCCAACATCCACCTTGAGGGGAGAGAGGGTGACATCATCACAAAGCGCCTGCGAGTGAAGGGTAACCTGGGCAATGCGGACCCCAAGCGGGGGCCACAGTGAAGTAAGAGTATTTGATGAGAGACAGTTATTTGATGTTCTGTTGTTGACTCCCCTCTACCTTATAATAGGGGTACCATGTCTTCACAGTTGTATAGCTATCCGTTTTCCAAGAAAAAGAAAAAGCTTGCATCTAACATACAGTGCCTTGCAAAAGTATTCAGACCCCTTGGATTTATTGTGTTACATAGTGCGATTCAAATGGATTTAATTGTCATTTTGTCAACAATATACACAAAATACTCTGTAATGACAAAGTTAATTTTTTATATATTTTTTTATTAATACTAAATGTAATAACTAAAATATACTTGTTGCATAAGTATTCAGTTCCTTTGTTTAGGCAAGCCTACATTTGTTCAGGAGTAAAATTTGGCTTAACAAATCTCTGGAGAGACCTGAAAATAGCTGTGCAGTGACGCTCCCCATCCAACCTGACAGATCTTGAGATCTTGAGAGGATCTGCAGAGAAGAATGGGAGAAACACCCCAAATGCAGGTGTGCCAAGCTTGTAGCGTCATACCCAAGAAGACTCGAGGCTGTAATCGCTGCCAAAGGTGCTTCAACAAAGTACTGAGTAAAGGGTCTGAATACTTACGTAAATGTGATATTTAATTTGTATTTATGTATTTTTTCCAAAAAATGTATACAAACCCGTTTTTGCTTTGTCATTATGGGGTATTGTGTGCAGATTAATCCATTTTAGAATAAGGCTGTAATGTACAAAATCTGAAAAAAAGTGAAGGGGTCTGACACCCATGCATTCCCCACAAGATATGCCACCAGAGGTCTCTTCACAGTCCCCAAGTCCAGAACGGACTATGGGAGGCGCACAGTACTACATAGAGCCATGACTACATGGAACTCTATTCCACATCAGGTAACTAATGCAAGCAGTAGAATCAGATTTAAAAAAACAGGTAAAAATACACCTTGTGGAACAGCGGGGACTGTGAAGAGACACACACACAGGTACATACACACATACATATAGACACTCACTCTACACACATGGATGTTGTATTGTAATTATGTGATAGTGCAGTAGTGGCGTGAGGGATCACACTAAATGTATTGGGTAAAGTGTTATGAAATATAATGTCATGTAATATTTTAAATTGTATATAACTGCCTTAATGTTGCAGGACCCCATGGGGATCCTTAATAAATAAAACATACAAATACAAAGGGTCTGTATAAGGATCTGTGCCATTTACTTTGAACTGGACTGTGTTTACAGCATGAGCGGTCGTGAGTTGATGCACTTGTTTGAGAGCAAAGTGAGACCTGCATGTAGCCACGTGTGCACATTTTGTTCATATGGTCCTCTGTATGGGTATGGGTGGTCCTCTGTAGCTTAATTGGTAGAGCATGGCGCTTGTAATGCCAGGGTAGTGGGTTCGATCCCCGGGACCACCCATACGTAAAAATGTATGCACACATGACTGTAAGTCGCTTTGGATAAAAGCATCTGCTAAATGGCATATTATTATTATTATTATAATATAATATAGTTATAGATAATTTGTAGTCAGCAATAGGGGAGTGTTTGCTACCTACAAGAGCACAAAACTTCTTCTTTGAAAAGCGAGTCAGGTAAAGAGCTTTTTTTAGTCTTGTGACAGTCTTGAATAAGCTAGGTAGCCATTAGGCAGGGGTAGCATAATTTGTCTGATTCTCTGTAATAATTATATGGGAATAATAATGCATTTTCTTGCAAAACACAACAACATTTTCAGTGACCTCCTTGTCTGAAGGACAAGTGGATAAACAGGTTAATGTCAAGCCCTGCATGTTTTTTTCAAAAGTCTCATGGAATGTAGGCCTACATTGAACACCACACATTGGCTGCTACTGTAGGCTAAATGATAGAACAGCTATTTCCATGTTAAAATGCTATGGGATGCATTTTCTCTATTGTTTTCGATGGTAGGCCACTCTGGTAGGCCTACATTATGATCAAATAGCCACAGTAGCCTTCATGGCCACTGTTAAAACTGTAACTTAAAGCGGGTACAGCCTCAGTGTTCACAGTAAACGTGCGGAACATTGGACCCTATGTGTTTTAATAAAATCAACTATATATACAGTTGAAGTCGGAAGTTTACATACACTGAGGTTTGAGTCATTAAAACTCGTTTTTCAACCACTCCACAAATTTCTTGTTAACAAACTATAGTTTTGGCAAGTCGGTTAGGACATCTACTTTGTGCATGACACAAGTCATTTTTCCAAAAATTGTTTACAGACAGATTATTTCACTTATAATTCACCCTATCACAATTCCAGTGGGTCAGAAGTTTACAATACACCAAGTTGACTGTGCCTTTAAACAGCTTGGAAATTTCCAGAAAATAAAATGTCATGGCTTTAGAAGCTTCTGATAGGCTAATTGACATCATTTGAGTCAATTGGAGGTGTACCTGTGGATGTATTTCAAGGCCTACCTTCAAACTCAGTGCCTCTTTGCTTGACATCATGGGAAAATCAAAAGAAATCAGCCAAGACCTCATAATTTTTTTTGTAGATCTCCACAAGTCTGGTTCATCCTTGGGAGCAATTTCCAAATGCCTGAAGGTACCATGATCATCTGTACAAACAATAGTACACAAGTATAAACACCATAGGACCACGCAGCCGTCATACCGCTCAGGAAGGAGACGCGTTCTGTCTCCTAGAGATGAACGTACCTTGGTGCGAAGTGCAAATCAATCCCAGAACAACAGCAAAGGACCTTGTGAAGATGCTGGAGGAAACAGGTACAAAAGTATCTACAGTAAATCGAGTCCTATATCGACATAGCCTGAAAGGCCGCTCAGCAAGGAAGAAGCCACTGCTCAAAAACCGCAATAAAAAAGCCAGACTACGGTTTGCAACTGCACATGGGGACAAAGATCGTACTTTTTGAGAAATGTCCTCTGGTCTGATGAAACAAAAATAGAACTGTTTGTCCATAATGACCATCGTTATGTTTGGAGGAAAAAAGGGAAGGCTTGCAAGCCGAAGAACACCATCCCAACCGTGAAGCACGGGGGTGGCAGCATCATGCTGTGGGGGTGCTTTGCTGCAGGAGGGACTGGTGCCCTTCACAAAATAGATGGCATCATGAGGAAGGAAAATTATGTGGATTTATTGAAGCAACATCTCAAGACATCAGTCAGGAAGTTAAAGCTTGGTCGCAAATGGTTCTTCCAAATGGACAATGACCCCAAGCATACTTCCAAAGTTGTAGCAAAATTGATTAAGGACAACAAAGTCAAGGTTTTGGAGTGGCCATCATAAAACCCTGACCACAATCCTATAGAACATTTTTTTGGGCAGAACTGAAAAAGCGTGTGCGAGCAAGGAGGCCTACAAACCTGACTTAGTTACACCAGCTCTGTCAGGAGGAATGGGCCAAAATTCACCCAACTTATTGTGGGAAGCTTGTGGAAGGCTACCCGAAACGTTTCACCCAAGTTAAACAATTTAAAGGCAATGCTACCAAATACTAATTGAGTGTATGTAAATGTCTGACCCACTGGGAATGTGATGAAAGAAATAAAAGCTGAAATAAATAATTCTCTCTACTATTATTCTGACATTTCACATTCTTAAAATAAAGTGGTGATCCTAACTGACCTAAGACAGGGAATTATTACTAGGATTAAATGTCAGAAATTGTGAAAAACTGAGTTTAAATGTATTTGGCTAAGGTGTATGTACACTTCCGACTTCAACTGTACATTGAGCTTGTGTGATGCTTTAAGCACACTGTTTGATGAAATAACACACAAATGACTCAAAAGGCAGCCAGAGATCAAGATAACCCGACCATCCTCCTCCCGCTCCTACTGGCTTTCGCAGATTCTGCCGTTACTCTCCTCAAGTTACCGGTAATAGGCTACACGGGGAGTCTGCAACCTTTCTCATGTGGAATGCCAATTTATCTTACCATTTCTTACCATGCCAACTATGTAAAAATAGCCTATAAAGCCACCAAATAAAAACATTGCAGCCTGCAGGTAGAAAATATTCGGATAAAAATAAATATCCTATGAATCACATTGGCTACGCATGGCCTGTCTGCAACGAACTTGCATTAACTATTAACTTGGGTCCGGTCCCGATGCTACATTGTATAAAATATTCGGGGCCCTCAGAGTTTCCCCGCGCCAGTGAGCTCTGGACAGAAACAGCTGTAGGCTATTTGCGCAAGGGATAAGTAAGTAAGTAATCAGGTAGGCCTATTTTAAGGCGTTTCCACTGGATCAGAGCATGACATTTCTCCCTTTCACTCTGAGTGGTTATCGAGAGGGAGAGAGCTGGAAAGATTTTTCAATACATCAAGGAACTATTGTCATTCTCAATGGATGTAAAAACAGACTTTGTTTGCTTGCTGTTTGAGGTGAAGAAAACAATACTTTGAGAAGCTCCACAGCTCATTAGTGGTGGTGCGTTAAGCCAATCAGAAATACTAATCAGATCCCCAAATCGGCACATTTGTATGTCTACATTTGTGCGCAAGCCAGCTAGCCTATAGGCCTACTTCTATGCATAATCAGGTGCACGTCCTTACACAACACTGACAGGAGCGCTCCAAACAAAAGACAATGACTAAATTGACAACTTGTAAGTGGAATGAAATAAAACCAAAACTTGTTTCTCACAAGTGTAGCATAGGTTGTGCACTCTGCAAACAACGTGTCCACTCCAACAATGAGAATGGTAAAAGACTGGAATAATATATTGAGTGCACAAATTGCCGGGAGAGAGGGCATTCTGGAGAGAGACGTGCATTGTGCATCTTAGCCACACTCCCCTTCTTCTTGGACTGTGCCATCCCCACAGCCTCCACAATGAATTAGTTCACTGAGATGGCTGCGAATAAGACAGGTGTCTAGTGTGCAAAGAGTGTGCAAAGCAGTCATCAAGGCAAAGGGCAGCTATTTGAAGAATCTCAACTATAAAATATATTTTGATTTGTTTAACACTTTTTTGGTTACTACATGATTCCATATGTGTTATTTCATAGTTTTGATGTCTTCACCATTATTCTACAATGTAAAAAATAGTAAAAATAAAGAAAAACCCTTGAATGTGTAGGTGTGTCCAAACTTTTGACTGGTACTGTGTATATACAGTGGGGGGAAAAAAGTATTTAGTCAGCCACCAATTGTGCAAGTTCTCCCACTTAAAAAGATGAGAGAGGCCTGTAATTTTCATCATAGGTACAGAAAAAAAAATCCAGAAAATCACATTGTAGGATTTTTAATGAATTTATTTGCAAATTATGGTGGAAAATAAGTATTTGGTCACCTACAAACAAGCAAGATTTCTGGCTCTCACAGACCTGTAACTTCTTCTTTAAGAGGCTCCTCTGTCCTCCACTCGTTACCTGTATAAATGGCACCTGTTTGAACTTGTTATCAGTATAAAAGACACCTGTCCACAACCTCAAACAGTCACACTCCAAACTCCACTATGGCCAAGACCAAAGAGCTGTCAAAGGACACCAGAAACAAAATTGTAGACCTGCACCAGGCTGGGAAGACTGAATCTGCAATAGGTAAGCAGCAATTATTAGGAAATGGAAGACATACAAGACCACTGATAATCTCCCTCGATCTGGGAATCCACGAAAGATCTCACCCCGTGGGGTCAGAATGATCACAAGAACGGTGAGCAAAAATCCCAGAACCACACGGGGGGACCTAGTGAATGACCTGCAGAGAGCTGGGACCAAAGTAACAAAGCCTACCATCAGTAACACACTACGCCGCCAGGGACTCAAATCCTGCAGTGCCAGACGTGTCCCCCTGCTTAAGCCAGTACATGTCTAGGCCCGTCTGAAGTTTGCTAGAGTGCATTTGGATGATCCAGAAGAGGATTGGGAGAATGTCATATGGTCAGATGAAACCAAAATATAACTTTTTGGTAAAAACTCAACTCGTCGTGTTTGGAGGACAAAGAATGCTGAGTTGCATCCAAAGAACACCATACCTACTGTGAAGCATGGGGGTGGAAACATCATGCTTTGGGGCTGTTTTTCTGCAAAGGGACCAGGACGACTGATCCGTGTAAAGGAAAGAATGAATGGGGCCATGTATCGTGAGATTTTGAGTGAAAACCTCCTTCCATCAGCAAGGGCATTGAAGATGAAACGTGGCTGGGTCTTTCAGCATGACAATGATCCCAAACACACCGCCCGGGCAACGAGGAGTGGCTTCGTAAGAAGCATTTCAAGGTCCTGGAGTGGCCTAGCCAGTCTCCAGATCTCAACCCCATAGAAAATCTTTGGAGGGAGTTGAAAGTCTGTGTTGCCCAGCGACAGCCCCAAAACATCACTGCTCTAGAGGAGATCTGCATGGAGGAATGGGCCAAAATACCAGCAGTGTGTGAAACCCTTGTGAAGACTTACAGAAAACGTTTGACCTGTGTCATTGCCAACAAAGGGTATATAACAAAGTAGAGAAACATTTGTTATTGACCAAATACTTATTTTCCACCATAATTTGCAAATAAATTCATAAAAAATCATACAATGTGATTTTCTGGAGAAAAAAAATCTCATTTTGTCTGTCATAGTTGACGTGTACCTATGATGAAAATTACAGGCCTCTCTCATCATTTTAAGTGGGAGAACTTGCACAATTGGTAGCTGACTAAATACACAGTGGGGAAAAAAAGTATCTATATATTTTTTTTTGTTAAGCAGTAGCAAATATATATGTCGACCAACTGCCTATCAACTAAACAATCGACCAGTCGACTATTTTGGGTCAGCCCTAAAAACATCTTGAATATCTCTTTAAGCATGGTCTACTTAATAATTATGCTGTGCATTATGCATTAAACCACCCAGACACCTCAAAGATAGTCATCCTTCTGAACTGAGCTGTAGGACAGAAATCAAACTGCTCAGGGATGTCTCCATGAGGCCATTGGTGATTTTCAAACAGCTACAAAGTTCAATGGCTGTGATGGGAGAAAACTGAGGGTAGATCAACAACATTGTAGTGACTCCAAAATAATGACCTAAATGACAGAGTGAAAAGAAGCACACAAATATACAAAATAAATATATTCCAAAACATGTATCTTATATGCAACAAGGCACTAAAGTAATACTGCAAAAAAGCATGGCAAAGGTATACAAATCCAACACAACACTTCACTGACTAACTGCCTCCTTATTTTCAAGCAATGTGGTATAGGTATGCTTGATGGTATAGGTATGCTTGATGGTATAGGTATGCTTGACATCAGCAAATAAAGGGGAGTTTTTCCAGGATAAAAAGAAACGAGATGGAGCTAAGCACAGGCAAAATCCTAAAGCAAAACCTGCTTCAGTCTGCTTTCCACCAGACACTGGGAGAGGAGCTCACCTTTCAGCAGGACAATAACCTACAACACAAGGCCAAATCTACACTGGAGTTACTTACTAAGAAGTCAGTGAATGGGCAAGTTTTTACTTAAATCTGCATTAAATACTATGGCAAGACTTGAAAATTGCTGTCTAGCCATGTTCCCCAACAACTTGACAGAGCTTGAAGAATTTTAAAAGAATAATAGGGAAATATTGCACAATCCAGCTGTGCAAAGCTCTTGAGAGACTTACTCAAGAAGATTCAAAGCTGTAATTGCTGCCAATGGTGTTTCTAACATGTATGGACTCAGGGAGCTGAACATTTATACAACGACTATATTTTATTTATTTTATTAATGTAAAAAAATATATATAATTGTTCTTCCACTTTGACAGAGTATTTTCTGTAGATTACTGACAAAAATGACAATTAAATAAATGTTAATCCCACTTTGTAACAAAATAAAATTTGAAGAAATTCAAGAGATCTGAATACTTTTGCAAGGCATTGTAGTTCACACTCATTCATACTCACATTCTATTGTATTTTTCAATACATACACAATCACACATAATGTAACCCCTGTCTTTTGCTGAGTGGTCACCTGTCCTAGACCAATATCTAAAACCAGGGAGTTTAAAACCCACAACCGTGCAGAAATAGCTACGGCAGCTGCTCTTGCTTCTTCATGTCAGAGAGGTTAGGATGGAAGAATAATATTAATTTGATTAATAAAAGACTGAGGTCATCCCTCACTTCTGCATTCTGCTTTCTTTTTCACTCAAAACATTACATTTACATTACATTTTAGTCATTTAGCAGACGCTCTTATCCAGAGCGACTTACAGTTAGTGAATAGAAAAAAGGTTTTTTTTTTTTTTTTTTTTACTGGCCCCCCATGGGAATCGAACCCACAACCCTGGCGTTGCAAACGCCATGCTCTATCAACTGAGCTACATCCCTGCCGGCCATTCCCTCCCCTACCCTGGACAACGCTGGGCCAATTGTGCGCCGCCCATGTGTCTCCCGGTCGCGGCCGGCTGCGACAGAGCCTGGATTCGAACCAGGATCTCTAGTGGCACAGTTAGCACTGCGATGCAGCGCCTTAGACCACTGCGCCACTTAGACCACTGCGCCACTCAGGCATCACACCACCATGGGATAGTTGGGAGCAGTGCATTGTGGTTTAGCAGGCACAGAGGCCACTGTAGTGGGGGGGACTAGTATAGAGTGATAAGCATTAGTAAGGGGTGATTCACATTTAAAAGCAGAGGTAAGGAGACAAGGGAAGCAAGATATTATGAAGTATTGGGACACAGTCAAAGACTCAGAGGCAGACAGAGACATGAGGTTACACCACAATTATGATGATTTAAAACACATTAGCTCCAATTTGAAATTAAATATTTTCTCCATGTGGATAAGCATGTCATTACTTCTTCTGTGTGCTACCTGGTTCTGTGTGGTGTTGTTGGCTGGGGCGGCGAAGGCATCAAAGAACGATAGGTCTGGGGCGTGGGCAGCTGCTGGGGCAGCTACTGGGGGTGCTACATGTCCTACATTTCCCCCTCCTCCTGGGAGCTGCAGACAGAGACAGAGGAGAGAGAGACAGAAGAGAAACGAGCGGAGAGAGAAAGACAGAAAGACACAGAGAGAGAGAGAGGGAGACATACATATTTACAAACACAACCACATTTTACACCCTCAAGTTCTAAGCTCAAGTTATGGTTGATTTATGGAAGGTTGAGTGACTGAACACCTGTGAGGCCACTGAAATGGTATAGTAAAAATAATTGAGTAGCCACACACCCACAATAGTTGAAGAGGTGCTGACTTACTGGAATGGCTGCACTGATAAACAAAAGCCAATCCTAACTAACTCTTTATACTCAGTAGAAGTAGCCTTGTACTGCATACACCTCCCCCTCAGATTGTAGTCTGGTCTGGTGTACTGAGATAGAAACCGCTTGCTTTAGAGACACAGTGAACTTTAGTCCTGCTGTTTTCAATGAAAAGCACTATAACAGCATGTGGATCTCAGTTGTCAATGGGAATATTATGATCCTGTAAGGAACCAAAACAGTCTAGGACAGCTGGGGAGGTAACTAAGGGTGAAATAGCTGGTGGGAGTCTGCCCAATAGTAACACAAACACAAACTTCCATCTTGTGAATAAAGAGTGACTCACCCCATACTGAAGTTGTTACTGGATCACACACACACACACACCACTCAAAGGGTCCCTACATCACTGCTCTATATAAACATAGTGATAAAAACCCCCAGTCCTGAAGGGGGTATATCCTGTTGTGGTTTCCCAAAAACAGAGAAACTAGGCGTGTGCTGCCTTTTCCTCCTGCCACAGTCCTGAGCCCATTCCCATTTAAAATCCCAGTAACACTACACAAGTTGCTTATCCATGTGTAGTAACACTGTAGTTACACTACTAACAGGTTCAGGCTACAAGGCGAATGCAACTGGTAAAAAATAAATAGTGAATTATACATAGAAGATTTAAAAAAAGGTGAAACAGTATATGAGAAGGAATAAGACATTGATATACAGTGTAAATGAAACCAGTTTCATCGACAAGACTCCAAGCCACTCCCTAACCTCGATGTAGTCTTCTGGCACTAGTCCAACCTCTCCTCTGGAATTCTGTGCTTCTATCCAGCCTCCTCCAATACCCTGAAACAAAACACACCAATAAGAGAGACTGTGATTGGCCTTGTGAGGAGAGAGTGGGTTTCATGATATGACGTGATTGACTGATAACAGATTTGATGATGAAACAGTTACAGTCACTGCAGTGACCTTCGAACTGCCGTCACCACATGATAACAGTGACAGTAACATCACGTTGGCTCATCCTACTACAGAGAGGAGCTTTTATTGTCTATGGGATCATGTGAGATATTGCTCATGTGACTTTACAAGGCTGATGTAACTCAAAAACAGGACACAGAACATAGGTGAGCCAGCAAAATATTACTTTTATACTCACATAAATGCCACATGAACTGATGATGTGCGTATAGTGTGGTGTGAGAGAGAGAGATGGGGGAATGATAGGGGGGGGGGGGGGGGGGGGGGTAAGAGCGCACACGAGAGATGGGGTGTTAAAAAGAGAAAGAGATACTGTATGAGGACAAAAATAGAGACAGATAGAGAGATATGTGGAAGAGAAAGAGAGCGATAGAAAAAGAGAGATGGGTAACGAAGGGGATAAAAAGAGAGAAATTGAATAATGAAGGCGGGGTGGGGGGGGGGGGGGGGGGGGGGGTGATGTGCTCACCTGATTGGTGATAGTGACTGTCTCTCCCTCTCTCACGGTCAGCTCGTTGTTTCCAGGCTCAGCAGTGAAGTCATACAAAACCTGTGCCTGAGAGAAACACAACAAGAGTCAACACAATCAGGGCCATGGCAATCAGGCCAAACACACACACAGACAGACACACATAATCATTTATCTGCTGAGGAGTGGAGTGAGGAAATCTCAACCTCAAACAAGCTAAACTAGTTCTGCTGCCAAGGACTTTTGCTGTGTTGTATATAAACCCCAAACACAGAGCTTGAACCCTGATAGTCCCATTCCTATGGCCTCAACTCACCCTAGTGACTCAGTCCACTAGACCAGTGGTTCCCAAACTGTGGGGCACACCCTGGAGGGTGCGTTTTTTAAATTACATTTTTTATCAACTCAGTCCTTCTTTGAACTTACTCTTGAAAGTTGTAGTAGTAGAATGCACAAAGTGCAATTTCGAAATTGGGTATTGCATCATCAGTTTTCCTCTTGTTATGTCAGTCATTGCATACCTTAGAGAGCTATTTATAATTTGTCAGAAATGTCCAGATCAACTAGCCCATGTCAGATTTTTTGCCCATAGATTTTGTTGTAATGTTTGAGTCACTCGAATATCACATGAACACACATAAGACATAGCAAAATGTGCAGAATTGCAGGAAATTAGCTTCAAAATGGTAACATTTTCTTTGCACCCCATGACAAAATGTGTAGAATTACAGGAAATAAGCTTTAAACCTGCTAAATGTTCTCTCCGCCAACAAGAGGGATGTGAACAGTTTGTGTCATAAACAGTGCTAGTGCCCATAGAAATAGACGTGGCTCGCGCGTGCGGAGGATCTGACTGTGGGAACAGTGTCAGCAGCAACGTGACAAGGGGCTCCTTCTAGAAACAGTAACCACCACCCCCCCCAATTCCCTCTACGACTCTCTAAGAGGGAAGTGAGAGAGAAACAGTTAATTATATCACTCCAAGATGAACTTCTTTCACTTCTTCATGGATGCCGTTTTTAGAAAGCTCAGCTTGACCTCTGCACAGACTGGTGTATTGGTAATCCCAAGGCTACAGCAGTAACTACACAGAACCTTGTAGCATTTCAGTATGAAAGGCCTCTGGGAGTTAGGAAGCCATAGCTAGGGCCAAGAGTTATTCTTGGTTAGGTCACATGGTCAGGGAAACCTCCTGACCTACGCTATGTATAGAAGATAAAAGAAAGAGGGGGATGAAAGTCAGGGATGGAAGAGGGAATGCTATTGTCATAATGGTGTAGAATTCACAGAGCTATGTCAGTGCTTGGCCAGCTAGCGTATTGATTAGACAGACTGAAACAATGTCTGTGGGCAAATCCACGTTATTTTGGTTATTGAACTACAGTAAGTGAATTATGGTAACAGAATTACATCATGGTCCCTGATCTGTAAGTTTGGATATCACAGCCCAGCGCAGCAGAGCACAGTAGAGTACAGTGCAGTACAATACAGCAGAGTAGAGTAGGGTAAAGTATAGTTCAGTATAGTAGAGTTCAGTACAGTAAAGTAGTGCATAGTTCAATACAGTACAATATACTGTACTATACTCTACTTTTCTTTACTGTACTACTGTATTATATTGGACTGTACTCTACTGTGCTCCACTCCCTATACTGTACAGTATTGCTGTGCCCTACTCACTGTACAGAACTGTGCTGTAATGTACTCAATACTGTACTCTACTCACTGTACTGTGCTATCCAAACTTGTGAAATATACAGTTGAAGTCGGAAGTTTACATGCACTTAGGTTGGAGTCATTTAAACTCATTTTTCAACCACTCCACACATTTCTTGTTAACAAACTATAGCTTTGGCAAGTCGGTTAGGACATCTAATTTGTGCATGACACAAGTAATTTTTCCAACAATTGTTTACAGACAGATTCTTTCACTTATAATTCACAGTTTCACAATTCCAGTGGGACAGAAGTTTACATACACTAAGTTGACTGTGCCTTTAAACAGCTTGGAAAATTCATGTCATGGCTTTAGAAGCTTCTGATAGGCTAATTGACATCATTTGAGTCAACCTGCGGATGTATATCATTTGTATTTTTTTTTCTTCTTTTGTATTTACCCCCTTTTTCTCCCCAATTTCGTGGTATGCAATTGGTAGTTACAGTCTTGTCCCATCGCTGCAACTCCCATACGGACACGAGAGAGGCGAAGGTCGAGAGTCGTGCGTTCTCCGAAACACAACCCAACCGAGCCGCACTGCTTCTTGACAAAGTGCCTGTTTAACCCGGAAGCCAGCCGCACCAATGTGTCGGAGGAAACACTGTACACCTGGCATTCGAGTCAGCATGCACTGCACCCGGCCTGCCACAGGAGTCGCTAGTGTGCGATGGGACAACAACATCCCTGCAGCCAAACCCTCCCCTACCCTGGACGACGCTGGGCCAATTGTGCACCGCCCCATGGGTCTCCCGGTCGCGGCCGGCTGCGCAGCTAGCACTGCGCCACTCGGGAGGCCCGCTGTGGATGTATTTCAAATCAATCCCAGAACAATAGCAAAGGACCTTGTGAAGATGCTGGAGAAAACAGGTACAAAAGTATTTATATCCACATAACCTGAAAGGCCGCTCAGCAAGGAAGAAGCCACTGCTCCAAAACCACCATAAAAAAGCCAGACTACGGTTTGCAACTGCACATGGGGACAAAAATCGTACTTTTTGGAGAATTGTCCTCTGGTCTGATGCCTATTCCCCCTGAAGCCTATTCCCCCTCAGGAGACTAAAAAGATTTGGCACGGGTCCTCAGATCCTCAAAAAATTCTACAGCTGCACCATCGAGAGCATCCTGACTGGTTGCATCACCGCCTGGTATGGCAACTGCTTGGCCTCTGACCGCAAGGCACTACAGAGGGTAGTGCGTACGGCCCAGTACATCACTGGGGCAAAGCTCCCTGCCATCCAGGACCTCTATACCAGGCGGTGTCAGAGGAAGGCCCTCAAAATTGTCAAAGACTCCAGCCACCCTAGTCATAGACTGTTCTCTCTGCTACCGCACGGCAAGCGGTACCGGAGTGCCAAGTCTAGGTCCAAAAGACTTCTCAACAGCTTCTACCCCCAAGCCATAAGACTCCTGAACAGCTAATCATGGCTACCCGGACTATTTGCACTGCCCCCCCCACCCCATCCTTTTTACGCTGCTGCTACTCTGTTAAGTAAGTATTTATGCATAGTCACTTTAACTCTACCCACATGTACATATTACCTCAACTACCTCAACTAGCCGGTGCCCCCGCACATTGACTCTGCAACGGTACCCCCCTGTATATATAGCCTCCCTACTGTCACTTTATTTTACTGTATATATAGCCTCCCTACTGTCACTTTATTTTACTTCTGCTCTTTTTTTCTCAACACTTTTTTTGTTGTTGTTTTATTCTTACTTTTTTGTTTAAAATAAATGCACTGTTGGTTAAGGGCTGTAAGTAAGCATTTCACTGTAATGTCTGCACCTGTTGTATTCGGCGCATAAGACCAATAAAATTTGATTTGATTTGATTTGATTTGATGAAACAAAAATAGAACTGTTTGGCCATGATGACCATTGTTATGTTTGGAGGAAAAAGGGGGTTGCTTGCAAGCCGAAGAACACCATCCCAAACGCACGGGAGTGTCAGCATCATGCTGTGGGGGTGCTTTGCTGCAGGAGGGACTGGTGCACTTCACAAAATAGATGGCATCATGAGGAAGGAAAATTATGTGTATATATTGAAGCAACATCTCAAGACATCAGTCAGGAAGTTAAAGCTTGGTCGCAAATGGGTCTTCCAAATGGACAATGACCCCAAGCATACTTCCAAAGTTGTGGCAAAATGGCTTAAGGACACCAAAGTCAAGGTATTGGAGTGGCCATCACAAATCCCTGACCTCAATCCTATAGAAAATGTGCGGGCAGAACTGAAAAAGCATGTGCGAGCAATGAGGCCTACAAACCTGACTCCGTTACACCAGCTCTGACAGGAGGAATGGGCCAAAATTCACTCAACTTATTGTGGGAAGCTTGTGGAAGACTACCCGAAACGTTTGACCCAAGTTAAACAATTTAAAGGCAATGCTACCAAATGCTAATTGAGTGTATGTAAACTTCTGACCCACTGGGAATGTGATGAAAGAATTAAAAGCTGAAATAAATCACTCTCTCTACTATTATTCTGACAATTCACATTCTTAAAATAAAGTGGTGATCCTAACTGACCTAAGACAGGGAATTTTTACTAGGATTAAATGTCAGGAATTGTGAAAAACTGAGTTTAAATATATTTGGCTAAGGTGTATGTAAACTTCCGACTTCAACTGTATGATAGGTTCAGATTTGGTCCAGTCGGGTCCATCTGTGGATGTTAACATAAAGTCCAGGGTGGACTGACCAAATTTCAACTACTTTTGAATGATTAAAGTAAATGGAAAGATAGAGGGGGCTCATGGTTAGGTTTCAGTAAGAGCTGTGAGAGGTGACATTAACTGGAGTGTGAGAGAGAGGCAGAGAGAGAGAGAGGGAGGGGTTGTCCAGACTCAGACTGTTAACACTCTTGGTTTAACCACCAGACAACAGAAAGACAAAGAAAACAGTTATGAGCTAAACATAACAGTATGCCAGTGGAAGGGAGGACAGTAGCAAGTAACCCAACTGTGGTTTGTAACTATTATGATTTCCCATTGTAGCCAATTCAGTTGCAGTAATTCCGTTACTGATTTTTTTTGTAATTCTGTTACCAATTTAGTAACGGAGTTACACGTTTTAATCACTTAATAATTCATAAACAAAGTTGATATCAGTAAAATTACTATAACTAACTGGTAGGTCTACCATTACAGTGCCTTCATTAAGTATTCCTACCCCTTGACTAATTCCACATTTTGTTGTGTTACAGCCTGAATTCAAAATGGATTAAATTGTTTGTTTTTCTCACCCATCTACACACAATACACCATAATGTGTATTATGGTTTATGTTTTTAGAAATGTAAGCAAATGTATTGAAAATGAAATACAGAACTATCTAATTTACATAAGCATTCACACCCCTGAGTCAATACTTTGTAGAAGTACCTTTGGCAGTGATTACAGCTGTGAGTCTTTCTGGGAAAGTCTCTAAAAGCTTTCCACACCTGGATTGTGCAACATTTGCCCATTATTATTTTCAAAATTCTTCATGCTCTGTCAAATTGGTTGTTGATCATTGCTAGACAACCATTTAAGTCTTGCAATAGATTTCTAAGTAGATTTAAGGCAAAACTGTAACTCGGCCACTCAGGAACGAAGGTTACATATGTAATCATGGTAATGTGAGCTATATGGATCACTCCAATATATTGGTATCACTCCGCGGCGGAGGGATACATCCGAGGTGAGGATTTACAGATTTACTTCCGTGTACACCTGTGTCACGGCTGGGGTCCGCCCCTATATATAGACCCTGTGGCCGTGACACACGTTCTCTACATCATTTTTGAGGCGCCTCTAGCACCGTAGAGGATTGGAGTGATCCATATAGCTCACATAACCGTGGTTACATACGTAACCTTCGTTATGTTTCACTATATTGGATCACTCCAATATATTGGTATATTCCCGTACCAGATTTAGTCGGTGCTAGAGGGACCTGGCCAGCCAGCGGCGAAGTCCCAGCGTGGAACCGAGACGCAGGTGTCGTCAATGTGGAAGGGGGGTCCCGGCACAGTCCTCAGAAGGGGAGGCGACGCCCAGGATCGCTGAACCAGCCACAGAGGGAGGTGCCACATTTACCCGATAGTACCTAGCAAAGGTGCAAGAGGAAGCCCAGCTGGCCGCAGCACAGATATCAGTGAGGGGCACTCCTCTCAGTAGAGCCCAGGACACAGCCACACCTCGTGTTGAATGTGCCACCACAGATTCCAGCACTGGCCTGCCAGCCAGGCGGTATGCTGTCGTAATCGTATCCACGATCCAGTGAGAGAGCCTCTGCTTCGATAGCCCAGCCCCCAGGACTCTCTCACCATAGCAGACAAATAGCTGGTCTGTTGTTCTCACTGACCATGTCTGCTCCACATAGGCAGCCAGTGCCTGCACAGGGCACAGCATGCCGGAGGGAGGCTCAGACTCCCCCGCCACTGCCGGGGGGTTGTAAGCAGACAGGATAAAAGGGATGTTCACATGCCTGTCTGACAGAACCTTCGGGAGGAATGAAGGGTTGGGGCAGAGAGATGTACTCCTCCCACCGGGGTCCATCCGGTAGCACTCAGATCTTACCGAAAAAGCATGAAGCTCACCCACCCTCTTCATGGAAGTAATCGCTACCAAGAAAACCACCTTCATAGAGAGGTGTTTCAAGGAGGCAGACTCCAATGGTTCGAAAGGCGGCTTTGCCAAAGCTTCCAAGACCACATCCAGATCCCAGCTCCCCATTGAGCGGGTCCTAGCTGGACGCAGGCGACGAACCCCCTTCATAAACCTGGAGACCAAGGGATGGTGCCCCACTGATCTGTCCATCCACCCCACATGGCAGGCAGATATAGCGGCCAAATACCTTCTCAGTGTAAAGGCTGCCAAGCGAGACTGCAGGTATTGGAGGACATACTGCACCCCGCATGACTCGGGCACAACCTCAATACCAGTGCACCAAGAGCAGAACAACCGCCAGCGCAACTGGTATGCCGCGGTTGTAGCCGGTGCCCTTGCGCTCAGCATGGTGTTCATTACGCCCTCCTGTAGTCCTAACATGGACCATTGGTGCCGTTCAGCGGCCAATCCCACAGACTGAGGCGGTGCGGTCTCGGATGCCACAGAGTTCCCCCGGCCTGAGACAGCAGGTCGGGTCTCGGGCAGTTGCCAAGGCGTCCCAGACAACGTCTGTGCAAGTATGGGGCCACCAGCAGCAGACGATGCTCCGCCATCCTGGTCCTGTCCAGCACAGCCTGGATCAGGGGAAAAGGGGGAAATGCATAAAGCATTCGTGAGCCAGAGCATCCAAGCCCAGAGGCCCTGGTGGCTCTGACATGGAGTACCACAGGGGGCAGTGTGCATTGCCCAGGGAGGCAAACAGGTCCACCTGCGCCCTCCTGAACTTGTACCACAGGTGCTGCACCACCTGGGAATGTAGGCTCCAGTCCCAAGGTGGCGGGCCCTCCCTCGAGAGCATATCCGCTGCCACATTCAGGATGCCAGGTACGTGCGCTGCGCGTAGAGACGCTAGACGTCCCTAAGCCCAGAGAAGGAGCTCCCGTGCCATAAGATGGAGACGGTGGGACCTCAGTCCACCCTGATGGTTGATGTAAGCCACCACTGTGGGTGTTGTCCGTTCTCACCAGGACATGTCTTCCCTTCAGATGTGGAAGGAAAGATCGCAGGGCCAGCAGTACAGCTCGGAGCTCTAGAGTATTGATGTGTCTGCCGCTCCAAGGGGGTAGCCAACAGCCGCTGGCCGACCTGCCCTTGGTCACACACCCCCAGCCGATCTGGGAGGCGTCTGTGCTGACCAGCTCCCAGCGGCACATCCTCAGCATCTCCACCCCACCTGAGAGAGAGGAGCGACAGCACCACGTCAACAATGCCCTGAGGCACTGTGCGGTGACCCACATCTGGCGGTGACGGTGGAGCTTCGGGTGCAGCCGGTGGGAGCTGAACCACCGTTGAAGAGGCCGGAGATGGAGTAGGCCCAGGGGAATCAGCAATGAGGCCGCCGTCAGCAAGCCCAACAGGCGTTGGCAGATCAGGGCGGATACCACCTGCCCCTGCCGAAAGTGGTCGAGGCAAGATAAGATCGCCTGAACCTTTCTGGTGGGCAGGCGTGCTCTCATGAGGACGGAGTCCAGTTCCATGCCAATGATGGCCACCCTCTTGGTGGGCGTCAGACGACTCTTCTTGTCGTTTACAGTAATGCCCAGCCCGCCGATGTGGGTCAGGAGCGTGTCTCTGTCTGACAGGACCTGGGTCCTGGTTGGGGCACAAATCAGCCAATCGTCCAGGTAATTGAGGATCAACAATCCTCGGGACGTGAGAGGTGCCATGACAGCGTCTAGGGAAGAACCATGAATTCGTAAGCCGTCCCTTCGAAAGTGAATCGGAGGTACTGCCAATGAGCTGGGTGAACAGGAACATGGAAGTACGCATCCCTCAGGTCCAGCGTCACAAACCACTGGTCCCTGGACATGGCCTGCAACACGCGGGCTGTGGACAGCATGTAGAACCTCAGTACCTTCAAGTACCCATTGAGGTTGCGGAGGTCCAGAATCGGACGAAACCCTCAGTCTCTTTTTGGGACCACAAAATAAGTGGAGTAGAACCCACCTAGCCGTTCTGATGTCCCGGAGTGAAGAGGAGATCTCCAGCCGCAGGGTTTTCTTCAGGGGGTCGGCCACCGTGGTGACACGAAGGCCCCTGAATGACGGGGGATGGCACCGGAATTGGAGTCGGTACCCCTTGAGCATTGTGGACAACACCCAGGGGGACTCCACACCCTCCTCCCACTTTGCCCTTTGAGAACGGGAGAAGTGGCCGAGGCCGGGGAAGGGTGTGTCAGGGGTCCTGCCGGGGCCAGCCTCTCCTCTGGTGCCCCGAGCGCCTGGGTCCCCCAGGCACGTTCCTATGGCGGTGACAGTTGACAGGTTGTTGCTTCACTGCACGATGTACCACTCCCCGCTGTCGTCCATCAGCACGAGGCGATGGGGCAGGAGATGGACTCCCCCATCGTACGGGTACAGGTGGGTGGCGATGGTCCGTCTGCCTTGGACCCGGGCCTAAGGAGGCGGCATGAACCATCTCAGGGTCTCCCGGTCCCTACAAACCTTATCGGTCTGCTCCAGAATGTAATCAACCCCTGGACCAAACCTCAGCCCTGGGGTGATGGGGAGAGCGGCAAACATGCTCTGGAGAGCAGCTGGCAGATGGGTTTGGGCCAGCCAGAGATTTAGCCGGGAGGGAACCACCTGGCGCAGGCCACATCCCTCTGGAGCAGGAAAAGCGGGCGAGACACCTCCATCCCGGAGGAGCTCCTCTGTGCCCTCCTGCAGCTGGGACAACAGAGTCTGCAGGTAGGCCTGCAGCAGCATGGCCGCGTTGGTATGGTGGCCAAGAGAGCAGAGGGACCCATGTGGCTTTCAAGTCTGCATCAAAGACTCTGGGGGATCCCGGCTTCAGTCACGGGTGCCGCCCTATAATCTCCCGGTCCGGGAGGACCATGGCAGCTATCATGGTGTCCATGGTCAGGTACTCCCGGAGGGCGAGTGACTCCGCGTCCGCAACATAACTCCATTAACAGTCTCTGCCAGGGGGCGCTTCCGACTCACAGCAGAGGCCCAGCTCTCCTGCAAGGCCTCGCGGAACTCAGCAGAGAGTCATCCCTGTCCACCAGTTTGATGTCCAGTGCAGTGGCTACCCGAGTGAGTAGGCTCCTCATAGCCTCTCGAGACGCTGGGGGCGATGAAGCCCCGCTGCCGGCTTCTGATGGCCTGTCAGCCTGGTAGCCCCGCTCACGGCAGTGAACAGTGCCAGCATTGTCCCCCAGGAACAGCCTATTACTGGCAAACAGGGAACAGCTGTCGCCGCCATCGAAGCTATCAACCTCCTGACGCAGGGCATGCGCCCTCCGTTCCAGGTGGTCCCAGCGGTCCGACTCCTGCCCCCCGTCCAGGACTGGCAGATGGGCTCTGCCTGCGGTGGCTCCGGCCACGCTTCCTGGGAGGGGTACTGGGCCCAGTAGAGGGACTAACAGCCTGCTGGCGCACCACTCCTGAGGGAGGGAGCTTGTCCCCAGCCTGAGCCCGAGCCTGGCTGACCCACTCGCGCATGGCCTCCAATCGCGCCAAGCGCAGGCCTTCTGAGAATACCACACAAAACAGGCATCCAGAAGGGCGCTCCCCCGCCCTCTCCATGTGGCTCAAACCCAGGCAGTGCATACACAAGGTATGCGGATCACCTGTCACAAAGGGAAGCCATAAGCTCAGCCAAGTCAACAGAGCAGGGGTCCGACGCCCTGGGAGAGATTATGTCATGACCCGCTTGGTGGAATAGGAACCCGGTGAGGGATAAATTACCCAGTACCTCTGCAAAAACCGGGGAAGACCTGTGTGGGAGAAACAGGCAGACAAAGAAAACAGCAACCAGGTAATGGATTTGATTGATTTGTTTTTGTTTTACGCCAACTGCAATATTACCTAGCCGGTTTATAATAATAATAATAATAATAATAATAATAATAATAATAATATGCCATTTAGCAGACGCTTTTATCCAAAGCGACTTACAGTCATGTGCGCATAAATTTGTACGTATGAGTGGTCCCGGGGATCGAACCCACTACCCTGGCGTTACAAGCACCATGCTCTACCAATTGAGCTACATGTTTAATATCCAAGCAGCAAAAACAGCACCATATGATGGAGTAACTCCGTTAAGGAACTCCAAAGTTAATGTCTCAACTTAGTGGAAAGCCCACCACGATACTCTTACACTCTGCAGGGGAAAGAACAAGAAAAAACCCTGCGCCTCTGGCGCGGGGAGCAGCATGTTAAAGCAATTCACAACACACACATAGAACAAGCCAGTCGGCAAGTTGTGCAAGGTAAATTACAGTTTGTGCACCAAGAGCCACCATACTAATGGATGCACATGGAGTCGTAGTGTAACGCTAACGAAACACAAGTACGACAAACCACGGGCGGAAGATAGAGATCAACCGCGCACAGCGAGTGGAGCACTCAAGAGGAGGGGCTGGCCATGTGGCCAGCTGCAAACAGCCAGTGAGTATACTTCCACGCAAGATATTACACTTAACAGTGACTTACCTAGCAAACTTGAAAGAAAGTTTGTACCTCAAACCATACGGATGTCCGCCGAGAAAATGAAAGAGAACGTGTGCCATGGGGTCTATATATAGGGGCGGACCCCAGCCGTGACACAGGAGTAAATCTGTAAATCCTCACCTCGGATGTATGCCTCCGCCGCATAGTGATACCAAAATATATTGGAGTGATCCAATATTGTGAAACATAACATTGGTAAGCAACTCGTGTAGATTTGGCCTTGCGTTTTAGGTTATTGTCCTGCTGAGAGGTGAATTCATCTCCCAGTGTCTGGTGGAAAGCAGACTGAACCAGGCTTTCCACTAGGATTTTGCCTGTGCTTAGCTCCATTCCGTTTCTTTTTTATCCTGAAAAACTCCCCAGTACATAATGATTACAAGCATACCCATTACATGATGCAGCCACCACTATGCATGAAAATATGGAGAGTGGTACTCAGTAATGCGTTTTATTGGATTTGCACCAAACATAACTCTTTGTATTCAGGACAAAAAGTGAATTGCTTTGCCACATTTTTTACAGTTTTACTTTAGTGCCCTGTTGCAAATGGGATGCATGTTTTGGAATATTTTTATTCTATACAGGCTTCCTTCTTTACACTCTGTCAATTAGGTTACTATTGTGGAGTAACTACAATGTTGTTGATCAATCCTCAGTTTTCTCCCGTCACAGAAATTAAACTCTGTAACTGTTTTAAAGTCATCATTGCCTTCATGGTGAAATCCCTGAGCGGTTTCCTTCCTCTGAGCAACTGAGTTAGGAAAGACGCCTGCATCTTTGTAGTGACTGGGTGTATTGATACACCATCCAAAGTGTAATTAATAACTTCACCATGCTCAAAGGGATATTCAATGTTTGATTTTGTATTTATGTACCAATAGGTGCCCT